GTGAAAATCCCCTACTCTGGACCACATGATGGCGCTTTTAGCTCTGTCAGCATTAACCATTCACTCCAATTTGGTCTACAAAATCACATTTGTTTTTCATTGTTTGTTCTTCCTTTATAGCTTCTGGCTCACAATTCATGAAAATTTCCTCCTTCAAAAACTTTTCTGAGCCTAAACTGAACCAAAGATGACTTATAAACATAAACATATCACTCCCTAAATCAGCACACAGCCTCAGTGTATCAAAACTGTATGTAGTCTATTTTTGGCCATTAAATGGGTAAAAAATTACTAATTGACACAAGGAGAAACATCATACTGCTTTATAACCTAAACCATTCCAGGTCAATGCTTTGTTTTTAACAGGAGATTAAGACTCATTTTGTGAAAGGTTCTGTTGCTCTCCCTGTCTTTTAAGGATAAATTTCAGATATTTTCTCAGATCTTAAAAATGAAGGACTTCAAAGCCTTTCTGATTCCAAAGTCTTGATCTAAGTATGGTACTAAAATTTACTATGAATTTGTCTAAATTGTTCTTGTAGTCACGTACACATCTGTATTGATAAGAAAATAAACATACTATGCTATGGCTCATAAATTTTAAGGGACACTACTAGATTTTAGTAATTTAGAATCTGAAAAATAAACTTATACTGGTGTGTGTTCATAATAATGAAGGATCAAAATTGATATTCTATTTCCAAAAGGTGTATAAGACCAGGGTGTCCCCAAAGAGGTCAACTTTAGATTGTTCAGGATATAAACTAAAATATTTCTGACTTTTCTTTGTAATTTAAAAACTGGTCCCATCCTTTATCACCTTTATCTTTATAGACTAAAGAATTCAAATTATTAAAGCCAGTAACTTTTATTCTTTAATCAGACTTCGTTATAAGATAGTATGTTTATCTAGTCTTACGCTGATAATTTTCATTTATAAATAAGACATTTCCTTATCTAAAAAACTTCACGACAGTAGCAGTGACTAAAGACACAATGACTCAGAACTTTTAAATAATAGAACTAAAAGGAATAGGTTAAGTGCAACTTTCTACTTTTCCAAATGAGGAGACAGAATGAGGTCTAATGCTGATAAGCAGCTCTTCTACAATAAAACACTTAAAAACCTAAGCAACAGTTAACAAATTTCAGACGAAGGGAACTGCCACCAGCATTTTACAAAAGCAAGAGTAGAAAATAACATGGATATTTCAATAACTTTTCCCCCCAGTTATATGCATACATCAGGTCACAGTGTAAAATGCATTCATGATAGTAGTCAATTTAGAAGTCATTGCAACAAGGTATCTAATTCTTTCAGTAGATTTAAATTTTTACTTTTATTTTAAAATTTGTTAATTTACTACTATGGTAATAATTTTACTTAGTACAATGACTAAGCTAATAATATATTTCTGCATTAAATACTAAATGATACCTATTTAAAATGGGTCACATTTTCCCTTTAAAGAAAAAAGACTAGTTCTGAATATTATTCCCTTTACCATCTATGAACAGAGAGATCTTCTTTTAAGTGTCACATTCCACAGAACTTATATGTCTCAACAACTTTTATATGCTAAACAAATTTTTCCAAATAGCGAATTCTAGGATTCTGATCTTTAACAAACATTGAAATAAACCAAATAAATAAATAAATAAAAATTTAAAAAAGGAAAAGAAAGACCAAATGAAACAAAACAAAAAAACAACACACCAAAAAACAATCCCTAAAAAGTTTGTGCAAAAAACAGTGACCTCTAGTGGACTCATTAAATGATATTGGAATAAATCTTGTCCCTAACAATGTAAAGTGAAAGTAACACTGCTACATCTAGATAAAAAATAAACTGATACGGTTATAAAACTGAAAAATAAAATATAAAATTAAGGGTTACTGTTATAGTATGTACAATGGGACAAATATATATTTATAGATTACTTATTGGTTTCTTCTAATCATGTGGAAAATGAACAGAATCCTGGTCTTATTCAGAATCTATCACTAGCTTAAAAAAATTTAGCCTTTTTGAGATTGTTTAATGAAGCTGTTAGGTTAAGTCTAGGGATTCCTTCCTTAAGCTCTTTAATTGTAATTCTTTCTTAAAGAAGAATTCTTCTTTTAAACCAACACCATATTAAATTCTGCTCAAAAAAGTTTTGCTGGTTTCCCAGTACTTGAGAATAAACCAAACTTAACTTGGCCTCTTATTACTGGCTATCATTATCCTTTTCTTGTCCCAATATACAGAAATTTCCTTTAATCTATGAGAGATACATTACAAGATTCCACCCCGCTGAGGATGCCTAAAACTGTGGATAGTACCAAACCATACACGGCATATATGTGTGTGTTTGTTTGTTTTTTAATAGTCACTAACAGGTGAGTAGTGTATACAATATGGATACAATGGAAAAAGAAGTGATTCATATTCTGGCAGGACAGAAATAGGAGATTTTTTATCACTCAGAATGCTGTGAAATGTAAAACTTATATCAAGTTTTGTTTATTTTTGGAAATTTCCATCTAACATTTTCAGACTACAGTTGACAGTGGGTTAACTGAAACAGAAAGTGAAACCATGGCCAAGAGAGGACTACTATGTACTCCTTATTTCAAGTGAGTTTGTGTTCAATACCCCAATCCACCGCCATTAATTTTTCTTACTTTTGTTTACTATTTTTCATTAGGCGACTTCCTAATCTTAGTCACTTACATTGCATATACCCAATACAGTTGGTAAAAAATTGTTCTGCGATCTCAATTAATTATTAAACTCACAAGTTTTTCATTTGTTTGTTTGTTTTTAAGACAAGATCTTACCATACAGTTCAGGCTGACCTCAAGTTTACTATACAACCCAGGCTGGCCTTGAACTCACAACAATGTTACTAGCTCAACCTCCTAAGACTAATGTGTGCACCACAGTGCCTGGAAACAGGTTGATTTTTATACATTTGCGTGTGTATGTACTCGTCCATGTGTAGCTCCTGCCAGGAACTAAGCACATAATGCACATTCTGGATTTAAATTACTAGTTTAGATTAGGCAAACATATTCCATTTTCATTTTTTTTAGTGAGGTAGCCAAGGACATATAAGTAAGAATTTTAAGAACAAAGTGACAGGGTTTTAATTTCTGGGGGAAAGTAGGCTTCTGAACATAATATGGCATGATATTAGGAAAAGATTAAAGGAAAGAAATTAGCTAAAAGAAGTACCAATAACTATGTTTAAAGTAAGTATGAGGAAAAAAATAAGAGATAGCATAAAAGGTGGTTTGGTAAACAGTTTGGGGCATATGTAAGACGGCACGCACACAGGGTTAAATTTAATGCATATAGGAGCCTTTTGGAAACAAAGTTAACAATAATTTAAGAAAACACTGGTCTTGGGGAATGGAATATATCACTGTTGTAAGGTTGAAATGGGTGTCTGGTGAAAGAAATATTGAAACAGGAGAAAAAGAGAGTGAAAAGTAAAAAAAGGGCAATTTTCCAGTTATCTTGGACAACGCAATAATCTTATAATCCCCAGATGAGAAATTTGACAGTTATTTGTGAAACAATGAACAATTTAGTCCTCATTATGTTTAATTCAATTAAGGCCATGGGTAAATTTTACATATTTGAAACTACACAGGATTGGATTGACAGGCAAAGATCTGTTATCAGAGGCACTGTCATCACCACAGTTGAATTTAAGAGTGGGGTACAATATAATAGCCATCAGGTAAGACTTCAAGCTTTCTTAATTTGAGGCAAAGTGCTTTAGTTAATTGCATCTCATTACATTTTGGTTAGTTAGTATAGATCTTCACTCTATTCCCACAATGAGTTGTTGTAACACTTAGCTATGAATTATATGGGGTATTATTTAATCTCATTTAGCCTTTGAACTTTCTAGACAATATAGTCCAATTACCATAATGATTTTTGCTACCTTTATATAGAATCACATTGCTTCATTCTTTATGACAAATTTTTTCAAATTTGGCATCTAGCAAAATACTGCAGATGTTTAAGTATCCCCCAAGAGGCAAAACCTCTGCAATGACCATAAACTTTTTTTTTGTAAAAACAAGCAAGCAAACAAACAAACAAACAAAACTCTATTTTTTAAAAAAAAAACTGGGTCTCTTTAAATCTATAAAACATTGTGCTGTTTTTTTTTTTGTACCAGGCATTGAACTCACAACTTTGCACTTGCCAGGCAAGTGCTTGTGCTGCTGACAGTGTGCTAATTTTAATAAAAATGAAATGAATTAGTAAAACTTTTTAACTTTAGTATACACAGTTTCTAAGTGAGTTCACTTGGATTCCAAGACCTAGTATCTTCTAAAAACATTTACTATTCTTAATTCAGAACTATGAGATGATCAAGGTTCATACACATTTCTGGCACAGTAGAAAGTTAAAGTTAAAGCTCCAGTTTGGTGATTAAAGCTAAAACAGTAAACAAATAGAATTTGCATGTATTCGGATTTTAAGTGTAAAATACGTTGAGAGCTGTTGAAGCTGGAAACTGACCACACATGCAGGGCTTCCACGTGGTTGTGGCATGGTCATCCTAAAAACAAAGAGTACCCAGGGAAAGCCACCTGAAGAAATTGCTTCCATCCAGAAAAACACCAAGCCCCTAGATAATACCAGCAGTGGGTTACAGAGGGGTTAAAATTGACATCATTCTTCTAAGTATTTAAATAAACATGCTACACTGGTTGAGCAGTTTCTTCTATCAGGAGAGGAAGGGCTCCACCTGACCCTAGCTTTTGTCTCTTTATTTTCTCACCCTCTTGGGGTCCTTCACCCCAAGAACCTCAAGAGCTACATGGGCTGAGGCAAAAATTCTTAATAATTATTCTAAAAATGGAAACATTTCCCCAAAAAATGTGTGAAAAATAACACTACTGAAAACTAAACCTATTCTCAACTTAGCTCAAAAAAAAAAGAAATTATTAGAAAAATGAATGAATGTATATTAATAATGATTTAAATTACCTGTCTTCTTCTCGAACCCATACTGGAGTTTTGGGAATTTGTGCTTCAAAATACTTAGATGCTTTGTAACAAAAATTGCTGCAAAAAGACTGAAGAGTATATGTTAACAACCAATATAAAGAAGAAAGAATAAAACACAAATGTATAGTTGAAAGAGCAAAACAAAAACACATGAATCTTCTATTACCTTTGGTCAGAAATAAGGTACAGTACCTTTGAAGGTTTTTATGTGTTCCTCCCTAACAGTATAGCTCTCCACATTTCCCAGAGATAATACGTTTGGTATTAATCATTCTTTTGCTTTTCTTTAGCTTCATTACCTATTGTATATCCCTGTAGAACAGCATTCAACTTTGGTTATACAGCAACTTTATCTGAATGAAATAGTATTGTTATTCTTTTCTTTTGTTCAAATTTTGTTTTTAAAATTTGTAGTTATAGCTTTTTCGTCATATATTACATTGAACTATATTAGTGTATTACACTTTACTGTTTATGGACACTGAGTTGTTTCTAATTTCTTGCTATCACTTCAGTGTTATTTATGAAGTTTTTTTTTTTTGTCTTTTTCCTTTTTATCAGTACCGGGGATCTAACTCACGACTGCCTGCTTGCAAGGCAGGTGCTTATGCTGCTGAGCTAAATCCTCAGCCCCTTATTTATGAAGTTTTTAGTGACAGTTTATTAAAATTTTGGTAAAATATACATAATGTGAAATGTACCATATGAGCCATTAATTGTATAGTTCAGTGCCATTAAATTCATTCTGTTGCATCATCACTGGCATTCATCTTTGGAAGTCTTTGCACCTTACAAAACTGAACACTATCCCCATTAAACAGTAACTCCACATTTCCCATTCACTGAAAAGCACTATTCTGCTTTCTATTTATGAATCTGATTATAATACATACCTCATTTAAGTGGAATCAAGTAACATTTGTCTTTTTACCCTGGCTTACTTCATTTAATATGTCCTTTAGGCTCAACCATATTGTAACATGTCAGACTTTCCTTCCTTTTAAGACTAAATATTTCAATGTATGCATATACCACATTGGCTAACCCAGCTATGAACATTCTCTCATAAACATACTATACTGGTGTACACAGGCAAAAATTAAAGTTGCTTTAGGGTATGTACAAAGAAATAGAAAGATGTGCTCATAAACATTATGCCAAGTGGCTGGGGATGTAGCTCAGTGGAAGAGAACTTGCCTAGCATGCTTAAGGGTCTGGGTTCAATCTCTAGCATCACCAAAAAATGTACTTAATATAGTCATACTAGTCATTCAAATGTATTATATAAAAGTTTCCTATCAGTTTATTTATTATATACTCTCAATATGAATCTATGGTCTATTATAGGTGGGAAATATTTACCTCTGGCTTTTCACTTTTTGGAAACCTCTAATAAATGAAAGTTTTAAGCTTTAATGTAGAAAGTATATCGGTTCTTCTTCCATGGATTATAATTTTCTATATTAAGATATTCTTCTCTGAGTTTATGATCTTTCATACTACTTTCAAAAAAGATCTACTTTTACATTTAGTTCTTTAATCTATCTGCTTTGAATGACAGATGGGGTCATTTTCATTTTTTCCATCTGGATAACAACTGTATCAGGATTACTGAAAAGCCCTTCCTCTCCCCAATGACTATCCAATATTTCTACCGTCATGTATCAAATGTATCCACATATGTGGCGAGTCTGCTACTGGATCTTGTTCTATGATTTACTTTCCCAGATTTTTGCCAATATGCACTTTAGATTTTTAAGTATTCAAGTTTTAATTAAAGCTTACACAAGGAATGATTTTTAGTACTACTTTAATTCAAGTACTTTTAAACAACAACAAATTTTTGACATGATTCTTTTTTAACAGGCAAGTTTTATTTTTAAATTCTAGTCAACATTATATTAAAAATTAACTGACACATTGAAAGAAGCCTTTAAACTTACCTTTCTTTCAGTAATATCATAGACTTTATTGGTTTTGGTAGAAATTTTGTATTTCTGTTTTGGTACCTAAAGAAAAGAAAGTTTAGCTTACAAAAGAATCTGAGTAATAAACAAGAATTTAAATTATAAGATTAAGTCATCTACATGACATATTTTTGGCTTACCCAAGTTATTAATGACCTTACATTTCTTTTCCTGTTCCTTCTACAAAGTATTATGGTAAATAAAAAAAAAGCCTTTTTAAAAAAAGTAGTACTTACGATGCCCAGCTTCTTCTGACATAAAGGATAACCACAGAATTTGATAATTGAACGTTCAACCACAACATCACTGTAGTGAGCAGGTGTGATAAACTTCCCCTATAATGAAATCAGAAGGGCATTTACTCTCAGATTTATGGAAAAAGGCATTTCTTGGGTCTCTAGTTCTTAAGAATCTCAACTGAAAATACACGGATAATAACAGTATCTATCTCGCTGGGTGTGGTGGTACCTGCTTGTGATCCTAGCACTAAGGAGGCTGAGGCAGGAGGACTGCTTTGAGTTCAAGGTTACCCTGGACTACACAGTGAGTTGAAGGTCTGTCTGAACTACATAGTGAGAACTCTCTTAAAAAAAAAAAAAAAAAAAAAAAAGGTGCCTACTTCATAAGTCTGAAGTTAAAATTAGAGAAAATGAAGGAAAAGTTTTCAAAGATGTGTTTGACATATAATAAACATTATAAAATGATAATTACTATTAAACTGTCATACCAGATTAAACATCTTTGTACAGTACACAATTGAAATAAATCTGGGGCAGCAGGAAAAGGTAGGGTCATAACTATACTAAAACTAAATGATGACAGTATCTTTTATTTTAAAGTAAGTACTATTTTTTAAAAAAAGCACTATTCTAGAAATTCACCTAAACCACATCAAGTAATAAAATGTAATTTTATCTTTTTAAAGTATAATTTTTTAAAAAGCATATAAAAGGTGGTGTTATGACTCCTAAACAAAATTTTGTGCAAAAATCTTTCTGCTTTTTAAAAAACTGTAGGAGAATATGAAGTTGTGATAAATTAATACCAAATATTTTCTTTTTGACTTTATGTTTAATCTCAATCCTTCTAACTTTCAAATATTTTTCAACAAGGTATCTTTCTGTTTTTACAGGGATTGAAGTACTCTATTGAGAATAAGAGTTTTACGTTTCAAATGAAACAGTTTTGGTTTGTCTCTTTAACATATATAGATTCAGATGCAGTTATCACTATCTACTTCAACATGTTTATGTTCATATTCTTCTTGTTTAGAAAAATCTCTGAGGGCATCCCACTTTCTGGGCCTCCTTCTGTCTCTCTTTGACAGAAGTTTCCTTTCTCTCAATAAATTCTTCCTACTCTTGACTTGCATTGTTCACATGTATTTTGGCCTTTCTTTTCAATCCTGGACTTCCTTCCAACCATCAAAAAAAAAAAAAAAAAAAAAGTCACAAAAGATATAATCAACACTTGGAGAATGCCAAGGAGAGAAAGCAAAGAGACCAATAAGCAGCTGATAATTGGATGGAGGTAAGAGTTTGCTTTTGTATCACAGGTCCTAGATTGTAACTTGTTGAGGTAATTAAAAAAATATTTTTTTTTGGTATTCAAGATTTTTTTATGATGATGATTTGTCCTTGGATCCATATTACCTAAGCTACTTTCAATCCACTTTCTGGGCCCCATTCTGCCCCTCTCAGACAGAAGTTTTTTTCTCTCAAATTCTTTCTATTCTTAAAAAAAAATCTCTGAGTTTTAATTTTTCTCTTAAGGACTGAGAATATAAAAGAAATTTTGCTATTCATTTAAAATTTTAATAAAGCTTTTCAAGAAAACAAAAGTTAATTCTGTTGTGAGTTAAGTCAAAGTATATTTTGAGTATTTAAAATATCAAAATAAAAAAATCAAAATCAATGAAATAATTAAGAAAAATCTGTTACTTAACATAGTATAAAACAGAATATTAGAAAACTGACACTTGTAATCATTACTATAGAGAGAAATCTAAGGATATAGCAGACTACAAGAACTATAAATTAGAAATAAAATGTAAATTTTCTTAATTTTTTAAATTAAAAATTTACTTTGATTCATAATTATATATATTAAGGAGACACAATATAATATCTTGATACATATCTACATCGTGGAATGAGCAAATCAGGATATAACATGCATATTATCTCACATACTTATTTCCTTCAGGTGAGAACATTTAAAATTCATTCTCAGTAATTTTAACACATACATTACTTTCAAATATAGTCATTTTGTAGTGTAATTGTTTCTTTTCTTAATGCATTTCAAAGTTATGACACAAGTAGTTGCTTATCTTAAAATGCATGATTTAAAGCCAGGCTGGTGGCTCATACCTGTACTCCCAGCACATAGAAGGCTGAGGCAGGAGGATTGCCAAGAATGAGTTCAAGACTAGCCTGGAATACATAGTGAGTTCAAGTCCAGACTGAACTACAAGCAAGACCCTGTCTCAAAAAATGAAAAAATGAAGACAGCTAAAATGCATGATTTATAATGTATGTACCAGCATCTAATGACCGAGAACAAATTTAAGATTTCAATAAAAGATGTGTCATTTTGCAGAGATTTAAAGGTATTATACTATAACACTAATAATTTTTCAACACATACACATTCCACTAGGAATTCCTCTGTAATGTTCTCTTCTAATAGCTGTTCGACAATATGCAGAGCTTTTCTCTCAAACTCAATCTTCTTTTTCACAGCTGCTTCCAGTTCTGCTTTCCTAAAATTTTAATAAAACATTAATGTATTTAACTGTACAAATTTTTTATTTTAAAAGCATAACAGAAAAAAAAGAATACAAATGATACAGAATTTTTTAAAAGGAAATTAACACCAATTAATATATTGTATATTATAATATACACTAAACACTATAATGTATACTATACACTATAATATACACTAATTAATAATTGAATATTGTTATCTTAGAAGTAGTTGTTCAGATTACAATTACAAAGTCTAGGCATAAAAATAAACAATGAGAGCACAAACTTCTTTCTGATGAAGGTGGATATTACAGTTATCTTGCATATAAATACATACCTTTATGTATGTTTATTGTATAAATTTTATTTCTCCAACATTCCATGCTTTAAAATCCAACAATAAGCTGGGCGTGGTGGCTCATGCCTGTAATCCCAACACTTGGGAGGCTGGGGTGGGAGGATCGTTGCGAGTTTGAGACCAGCCTGGGCTACAAAGTGAGTTCAAGGCCAGTCTGAACTGCACAGCGAGACCCTGTCTCAAAAAGACAAAAAAAAAAAAAAAAAAAAAAAATCCAACAATAACCTAACCCACTATCTTGTAAGTTTATAGCTTTTAATGCTGTTTGTTGTGGTTTATGTCAGTGGCCCCAGGCCTCATGGGTTTACACTATGCATCTGTGATTGGTTCACTGTTTTTTTTTTTAATTTTATTTAAAGAAAGACTAAACAAAACAGAAAACGGGTAGAAATAATATAGATGTTCAGAGAAAAAATAAACAATAAGAAATCACTAGTTGATGTTTACATACTGTCCTTTTACAAATAGTTGTTCAAGATACAAAAGTGGAACATACAAAGTGGGAATTCAAACAGCGAGACTGTCAACAGTCCTGTTCAACTATCCAACAAAAACTTAGTAATATGGTTATCAAACCTATACACTTAAACATACATGCAGTTATCCGTATCTTCATTTATGTTGAGATTAAACAAACTAAAGCAGGCTAAAATCATTCTGAACAAAGAGCAATAGTATTGCTAGATTTCATATCATGACACTCCGGGATCAGCAATGGGTACTGTGGTGTCTTTTTTTTTTTTTAATTTTATTTAAAGAGAGACTAAACAAAACACAAAAGGAGTAGAAATAATATATACTTTCAAAGAAAAAAATAAACAGTAAAAAATCACTAGTTGATGATTATAGATTGTCCTCTTACAAATAGTTACTTAAGATACTAAAGTGGAGCATATAAAGTGGGGATTCAAACAGTGAGACTGCAACCAGTTCTGTTCAACTACACAACAAAAACTTAGAAATATGGTTATCAATCCTTACAAGAGTCTGTGTTCCATCTTACCTCTTTAAGACATCCTATGTGTGCCGAGGGCACCAGTGCTAAGCTGAGAACAATGCCTCCACTGGCAGACAGGTTAGGTACTGGGAGAGTCACGTCCAAATTGACCCTTACAGAATTGAATTGTTTTATATTTGTGCAAATCTCCTCAATGTCTGTCTTAATAGTAATTAGCTGGATTGAAAGTACTATATTTCAGTTTAAATAAATTTATAGTCACTCCCCTCAACAATTTGCTGTCCTACAGATTGTTTCATTATCCTGAGTTATCTACCCAAAAGTGTTTATTGGGGCTTGAGCTCAGTGGTAGAGCACTGTGGCTACCATACCTAGGATCCTGGGTTCAATCACCAGCACTACACAAAATAAGAAACATACCAAAAAACATTTGGTTTGGCCAGGTGTGGTTTGTACTCTTGTAATCCCAACACTCAGGAGTCTGAGGCAGAGGATCACCATGAGTTCAAGAACAGCCTGGGCTACACTGTGAATTCAAGGCCACCCTGAACTACATGGCAAGACCCTGTCTTGAAAAACAAACAACCCCCACAACCCCAAACATTTGGTTTAACAGTATTTCTCAAGTTGTACAAAATGTAATCTTCACATGTTGTGGTTAATTAGTGTTGAGGGCAGTTGCAAATCACTGTTGGAATCAATATTAACTATATTCTTACAGCAATTCCTAAAGCCAAGTTAATCACACAGTATTTTCTAAAATAGATTCTCAAATTTATCCAGTTTCTCTATTACTGGGTGATCACCAGTTCTAATGTCTTAAAACTTTTCAAATTTCAATCTCATCATTCAGTTTCTTAAAGTTTTGCCATTTACACTTAGATACTCTAAACTTCTCACCATTTCTACTAGATATAGTACTATGTGAACAGAATTTTGTCTCTCTAATCTCCTAACCTCTTTTCTTCCCTTCCTCAGAATGTCACATAGCAGCCTAGGCATTCTTTGAAGCTGCCAAGCCTTTTCTTATTTCAGGGTCTGCACACATGCTGTCACCTGTGGCTAGAAGTCTTTCATCACTAACTGCCTGGTGAACATTTACTTAGCCTTCAGGTCTCAGTTTGTTACTTACTTTCTTAGAGAAGTCTTTCCCTGAAAACCCAGTCAACTTTCATCTAAATTGAGCTTATTAGTTCCTCCTAATATCACGGTTTTTTTATAGCACTCATTATGATTTGTAATTATGCATTTATTTGATAGTTCTCTGTTCCACTAGGCAAGAACTGTATCAGTTTTGAGCAACATCATAGTCACACGGCCTAACCCAAGTCTGGAATATCCTATGACCAGTAAATAATTGTTGTAGTTTGTGTATGTCTCTACCAAGTTTCATAGGGGGAGGGCAGGGTTTAGAGGTGACTGAAACTACAGAGTGTGATGCTGCAATTAGGGTGTGAGTGCTACACTTGCCCTAGGAAGATACCCTGCATATAATGTAAGAGACAAAAAGAGTCTTTATGACTATCTTCCTTGTTGCTTTTTTTTTTTTGTCTTTTTTGTTTTTATCTGTACCAGGGATTGAACTCACGACTGCCTGCTTGCAAGGCAGGCGCTTATGCCGCTGAGCTAAATCCCCAGCCCCGCTTTTGTTGTCTTCTGCAGCCATGACCTGTTGCCCCTCTACCATGTATCATCCTGCCTTGGAGCTGGTGGATTATGGCCCCTTTAAACTGAGCAAAATAAATCTTTCCTTCTTTAACTTTGGGTGTAACATTTTGTCTCAGCAACAAAAAAATTAAGACAATAATTTTTTAAAAAAATTAATAAATTAAGACGAAAGCCAATAAAAAATTGTCTTCAATAAAGTGATGTCACACATACACATATCTTGATCTTCTTTATAGACTGCTATTCTAGAAACCTTTTCTGACATAATATTTTGCCTCTTTAGGAGCCAAAGGACAGTATAGAATACCTTTTATTTTTTTAAATAAAAACCTGGATTTGATGTAACAAAAAGAAATGGTTTCTTGGAATGCTAAAGAGAAAAACTTGGACTGTGAATCTGACATACACAGTAATAAAGAGTGTATCTGAATAGGTGGCAAAGGAGTACCTAGTTAATTCGAGTGTTCCCATGGTCACCTTGCTACAGATATACCTTCACCAGTAGTTCCTAATTTTGATTTTCTTTCTTTTTTTTTTTTTTTTTTTTGTCTTTTTCGTTTTTACCGGTACCAGGGATCGAACTCACGACTGCCTGCTTGCAAGGCAGGCGCTTATGCCGCTGAGCTAAATCCCCAGCCCCAATTTTGATTTTGTCTCTCATAATTTTCTTCCAAAACATGACATAACTGTTTTAAAAAGATTCAATTACTGCCATGAGTTAAAAGATAAGTGGATACATTTGTGCAAGTGGTTCTCATACCTTTTGGAAGCATCTTCTTTTTTCAAGACACTTGTTTGTTTAATACCTACAAATGAACAAAAAAAATTGGTCAGTCTGGGTGTGGTGGTCCAAGCCTGTAATCCCAGCACTCTGGGAAGCTGAGGCAGGAGGACTGCCCTGAGTGACAGGCCAGCCTGGGCTACACAGGGAGTTCCAGGTCAGCCTGAACTACCAAGTGAGACCCTACCTCAAACATACTTTTATAAAAAGGTCAAGCTTACCCAAATGCGTTAAGTACAGGTTACATACATTCCTGCATAAATAACAAACTCTAGACTGCTATACATTTTTCAACCCTGTGCACAAATCAAAATGAAATACAAATATCTGATTTGTTTCAGTAAATTGATTTTTCCTTGATTAAAAAATGATAGGATTTGGGCTTGAATTTTTATCGCAGTTACTTAATTAAAAAAATCTGTGATCTGGGTACTGCGTCTCTTTAGTCTCCCAAATGTTGGCTCCCTGGGTTAGGGGAGTCCTTCCACACCGAAGCTGCCCGGACTGGGGGCTACTGAGGTTTCGGGTCAGAGGCACACGGCCCGCTGACGGTGCCCTGGTCACGTGGGGGTCCCCAGCAGCTCCACTCCCTCTTCCCTGTGGCTGCGGCCCAAGTAGAAGGAAACCCCGATACTGCAGTAAAAAGGCATAGGGGTCGGGCCAGGAAGTCTTTCCCAGAAGCGCTCGGGCTCACAGCCCCGGGGAGCTTCCTCTGGGACGGCGTGCTCCTCGGTGTGGAACTTGGTCGGGGGTCCAGTTCGCAGGGTCCAAACCTGGGAGGATGTCCTTGTTCATACCTGTAGCCTTCCGGGAGGCACGGGCAAGCGGGGGACCGAGGCCCACAGAACTACGCACAGCACTGTCAGCCATGGGAAGCGTCGTCAGACGGTCGGGCTCCGCCTCCGTGCGCCTCTCAGGCGAGGGCGTGGCCGGGCGCGCAGGGGGCGGGGCCGGCCTCTTCTGCCAGTGGTGCCGAAGGCCACGGAGAGAGCCGCGAGGTCCGGCAGGTAAGTAGACGCGGATAGGTCTAGGGCAGGCTCACCTAGAGGTTGCCTGTGAGCTGCGGAGAACTCGGCGCCGAGGGTCGGCTAGCCCCCCTGCAAACGGTGCGGCCCGATCGCCTTGAAACGAGAATCTGGGAGAAATGGCTTCCTCTGGATGCCGCTCACTTGCGGCTAGGGTGTCCGATTGCCTGCGAGCGCGAGGCGCTGCGTAACACTCCGGGGGGAAATGATGGTCGGCGGGCGCGGGCGGTGACCGCTTGAGGACAGCTGATTGCCGGGTCTCGGTGTAAGGCGCGGATTTTACTGGGATCCATAGCTTCAACAGAGAAGTGGAGTGGAGGACTTATGAATCTTCATCCCCTTTGGCTGACCTGATTCTGTTGGATTCCAGTTTTAGTCCAGTGGAACATTAAAAATTTCCCGAATGATTAGAATTTGAATTTTAAGTCTGCTTTTTGGAAGAAGTGTTCAGAAAAGAGATACTTTTAACTTTTTAAAGCCCTTTGCTCAATATTTGTCTTTTCCCTAGGGAGTACTCTAGATGGTTCTTAACTTCTGGTACCTTTCAAAACTACCGTATACCCTTTAAAATTGCGAAAGAAAAAAAGGTGCAATAAAGCCAGTCATAACTTTACTTTCAATTAAAACTTAACATTTTCTTTATTGTATTTTTACATAACCAGAATGAAACGTTATGTACTGTCACAGTTTAATTGTGTTTGTATAGTATTTCAGAATCAAAGCTAGGAAAAATAATTAAGAATGGCTGTGGAGGAACTCCTGTCCATAATAAAGAAATGTGTAAGTAGAGTGGGTATTTGTGTGTGTGTGTTGTTATGTTTTGTTGGTAAAATTAAGTATCTTTCAAACTATGAACAGGAAGTTAGTTTCTGTTACTTTTGTGATCACTCAAATTATTTATCTTCAGTCCCTGGGGTTTTTTTCATTTGTTTGTTTTTTGAGGCAATCTCACTATGTAGTTCAGGTTGGCCTTGAACTCAACTATGTAGCACAGACTAGCAGTGATTCTTTTGTCTCAGATCCTCCTGCCTCAGATTCTGGTGTGCTAGGATTACAAGAATGAGCCACTAAAACGGGTTTAATTAGCATTAAAATTAAAAGAGTTATGATTGGTGTGGTGGGGGCATACCTATAATCCTTGTCCTTGGGAGGCTGAGGCAAGAGGCTTACTTCGAGTTCAGGACCAGCCTAAAGTGTATAGTGAGATCTTGTCTCAAAAAACTAAATGATAGGGCCGGGCCTGGTGGTACACGCCTGTAATCCCAGCACTCAGGAGGCTGAGGCAAGAGGATCATTCCAAGTTTGAGATCAGCCAAGGCTACAAAATGAGCTCAAGGCCAGGCTGAGCTGCATAGTGAGACCCTGTCTCAAAAAGACAAAACAAAACAAACACCAAAACACCAAATGATAATAATTTTAATGCTGATCTTTTTAATGGATTTCTTCAGTATAGTGGATTTCCAGGTTATTCATTAAAGAACTTATTGTGGTACTCCTAATTTTCATACATGTATTTATGTGTAAATTATCTAGACTTTAAACAAATTTTTAAAATTTCAGTTGCCAAATTGAGTTTTTATTTGTGTATGTGCTTTTTTTATGTGTGTGTTTACTAGCAAATCTTAGATGAGGATGACTTCAAAGAAGAAGATTTTGGCCTGTTCCAATTAGCAGGCCAAAAATGCATAGAAGAAGGGCATATAAACCAGCTATTAGAAATTATTAAAAATGAAAATAATAAGGTAAGTACAATTTTTGTGTTTTTCTGTTTACTTGGGAAGAGAGTAAGTATGTGTCGCTGTTATTCATCCTTTCACTTATCCATCAACCATTTAAGAATCTACTTAAATTTCTACAGTAGAAAACAAAAAAAGGAATTAGTAATATTCATATATGTTCAGGTACATACAGTCTTGTGGAAGAGATAATTATGCAAACAACTAGCTATCAGGAGGCCGAGTAAATAAGTACTGTACTTACAGAATAAGTAAAAGGCTAGAAGAAACAGGACTATTTCTGGTTAAGGAGATCAAAAAAATAGTGTGTAAATCAAATTACATTGAGAAATATAAGTAGATTACTAGTTACCCATTTCTTGTAATCAGCCCACTTCTAGCCAGAGGTATATAGGAAATCACATTTTAATTCAAACAGTATTTTATGTATACAGAATCAGAATGGGGAGAGTTGACCAATATCATCAAAGTATACAAGTAGGAGAAATCATTCTACCATGGGAAAGGACCTATTGTGGATCGTGAAGAACTTTTTCCTGGGACACAATGTTAGTGACAGTGCCAATTTTTTGTTTTGTGGTGTTTTGTTTTGTGCTAGGGTTCAAACTCATGACCTTGTGCTTACCAGGCAAGTGCTTGAGCCACTGATCTAAATCCCTGGCCACAACACTGCCAAATTTTGTCTTTGGACTCTCCTTAATAGCATTGGAAAGACTCCTCCTCCCCTGAATATTTTTTTATAGTGGTATTTATTTTGTTTGTGACGTTATAGTCTAGTCGTGCTGTGTTGTGGAGGATTCCTAAATTGTTTTTCCTTTTCTTTTTTTCTTTTTTCTCTTGTAATGCTGGGAATGGAACCCAAGGCAGCAAGCACTTTACCACTGAGCTTGACACCCCTAGCTGATGACTACTACAACAATCACACATTGTTGTAGATTTTCTTAGTTCGAATAGTTTATCCCTTTTTAAATTTTTAAATACCTTCGTAGTTTCAAATATAGTAAATTTCATGTTTTTCATTTCTCCATTTTTTCCAATTGCATTTTCAAAAGACAATTTTTTTGAGATTACCTAGCTTTTAGCTAATACAATTAATAATAACAATTAAGTTTACTATGTAATACGTGCTCTTTTAAGTGCACATCTATTAACTTATTTAGCCTCCAAAATCCTATAAGACAGGTAACACTTTGTAACATCTGTAATTCAAGCTTCCTGGGGCTGCAACAAGAGGGTCACTTTGTCTAGCATCTTCCTGAGTAACACAGTGAGATCCCTATCTCAAAGAAATTTTTTCTTTTCATTTTGTAAATAAAAAATAATCACTGAATGATTAAGTGACGTTCCCTAAATATACTCAACTTTTATGTGACATGTACAGTTCAGACTCCCAAGGCTTGGTTTGGATCTCTTAACCACTCTGGTTAGCACCCAGTAGCACTTAAAAGGAATTTTTAGGGTAGAATAAAAGACACTTGAGATGGTCAGGGTAAGAGAGGGTTGGGGTATCAAGGATGCCTGGGTTTCCAGCCTCAGAAAGGACAATATAGTATATGATGTTCTGAACAGAAAAAGACAAGACAAGTATGAAAGAAAATGAGTTGATTTTTACAAATTTTATGTTTAAGATGTAGCATACACTTAGTAAGGTTTTAAACTCAGAAAAAAGAGAAGATTTAGATGGATGTTTATTTCAAGATTAGGTAATTGAAGCATTTGGGGACTTAAAAAAGAGTTTACTTGAGTCCACAAAAAGGGAGAGGAGAGGCTGAGAGTCTCTCCTTGAGGAATTAAGGAACAGCTGGGGAAGAAGAGGCTACCAAAGAGGTGAGGGTCAGGAAGGTATCAATGAGGGGGAGATGAGAAGTGTAACCAACTGTTCTGCAGGCATTAAAGGCTTCAGTGCTTTATATTTAGCATGTTCTAAATAACTGATAGGATTTAAGCATAGTAAATCTTAAGCTCAATAGCTTGAAAATCACCTACCTAATGTATAATATTTTAGATAGGATATGCAGGGTATCCAGCAACAACCTTGGTCTCTACCTGTTAGATACCAGTGATAACCCTTCCCAACCCCATTTAAGTAATAACTATAAAACTTGTCTCCAGACCTTGCCAAATGTCTCCTGGGAGGTAGGGAGCAAAATTACCCTCAGTGCAATACCACTGGAATACTGATAAAAGCATGAGCATAGGAGCTAGACAGACTTAAGTCCTGACTCTGCCACATTTTAGTTCTTGAACATGAGGGATGTTGTTACCCTCTGAAGTTTGGCATTCTCATTTGTAAATTGGAGATAACAATCTTACTCTGTGTAGTAGTTAGTATTAAAGAGTAATATAAGCTCCCTTAACAGAAGTCAGTATTTTGCCTTCATAGCTATTCACTACTCTTCCTTCCCACTAACTAAAGCCATTTATGTAGTGAGTGATTGGCTATACTGCAGCTGATAATTGTATTTATAAAATAATTTTTAAAAAAAATTTTTTTTTTTTTTTGTCTTTTTCTTTTTTATCGGTTCCGGGGATTGAACTCGCAACTGCCTGCTTGCAAGGCAGGCGCTTATGCCGCTGAGCTAAATCCTCAGCCCCTAAAAAAAATTTTTGACACCAAAGTGCATACTTGTAATCCTAGCACTGGGAGGCTGAGGCAGGAGGATTACTGTGAGTTCAAGGCCAGTTTGGGCTATGCAGCAAGGTCAAGGACAGTCTGAGACTGTGTCTCAAAAAACAAAACAAAAAAATTTTTGAATGCAATATTCAGAAATCTTGGTAAGTCTGCCATGCCTCTTTAGAAACTTACTGTTGAATGACCAACTGCAGTATCTGTTCACATACCCTAATATAGTTCTCCAGGAATTGTTAATCTTTGTACCTTTACACATTGCTGTTTCAGAAGCTTGAATGTTTTTCCCACAGAGCTGTGCCTTAGATTTTTCTGTTTCTCCAAGAATGCTTAACTTAGCTTTTGGGAAACCTCTCTTGCCTTTCCTAGACACAGATGACTATTCTTCCTCATACTGTACCTTTATTATAAGACTGGGATCAAGAGGAGGTATTGTAGGTGTCATTTGTTCATCTTCTTTGATCTTTTTTTGAAAGAATCATCCTAAAATGTAAATTCTGAGAATGGAGATCTTGATATGTTCTTCACTTTACTTCTAGCACCTAGAATATTATATATTACATACTTGGTAAATATTAATGAGTTGAAAAAGAAAGACCAGACATCTGAAGTATATTATTTGTAATTTTCAAAATCAGAGGTTTTGGTAATGGAAGTGAATCACTAATTATACATTTTTATTTGTATGGTAAGTATTCTGAAATAGTTTTGAAAATTGAAACAAACTGTGTGTAGGAAGGAAAATTAATGAAGTCGAATCTCCTTTTATATGTTATAATGATTATATTAGAGACTCCCCAAAGAGTCTCTAAAGATGCACAAGCATTGGTCTCTATATGAATCAGAAGAACAGAATTCTGTTAAGTGCTTATTCATCTTAAACAAATTAACTCTCTTGTAAGAAATAGAGAAACTGTTTGAATCCCAGAAAACACTTAAGTTACCTGATAAAAAGCAAAGATTCTTTTGTGTTTCTTCAGTGGAAGTGTTAAACAGTTTTAAAATGTTGGTGTCTGTTAGCAGCCAACCCTAGAAAGTCAGTGGTGAAATATTAATAGGTATCACTTGTCTCATGTTCCTTGTTTCACAGAAAATTCTGTTCTTCTAAATTAGAGAAATATACTGTCAGAGTCCTCTAGGTGTCAGTGTTTTACAATAAATGGTTTTACAGGTTATCATCAAGACTATGGGCTGGAATCTTATTGGTCCTGTTGTTCGGTGCCTTTTAAGGAATGATAAAGAAAATGATGAAAGAAAAAGTTATTTTCTAATGCTTGATTTACTGGTCAAGGTAAGTTAATAAAACTAAGTTCACTTTGTCATAACATACGGTTATATTACAATTTCCTTTAATGTTTACTTTTTATAGTTTAGTAAGAAAATTTTTAACTTATGAAAATACATGCAAAAGAAAACTCTGGAGAAGAGCATAATCTTGCTTAATTGAATGAGCAATTCCATTGTAACATTCCTCAATTTTTTTTCTTTTTTTTTGAGACAGGATCCTGCTGTGTAGTTCAGGCTGGCCTTGAACTCACTATTTAGCCCAGGATGGGCCTCAAACTCATGGCAGTCCTGCCTCAGCATGCCCTGTGCTGGGATTATAGTCATGTGCCACCATGCCCAGGCTTCTCCAATTTTCTAGATATTTTTACCTAGTTTTATGTTTGACCTAAGATTCAGTCTCCAGGGAGAGACCAACGAAGCTGTATTTTAACAAGTAGCATTATTGTATAGTCATAGAATTCAGTTTTCAGAGAGGTAGTTCAAGGCCACATGGATCTTTTTGCAACATTCATTAAAATAAAAAGTAGGGGCTAGGGATTTAGCTCAGCGGCATAAGCACCTCCCTTGCAAGCAGGCAGTCATAAGTTCGATCCCTGGTACCGATAAAAAGGAAGACAAAAAAAAAAAAAACAAGTCAGTGCTCTGTCGTCTGGAAGGCCTAAGTTTAGAATGCAAATTATCACAAGGAAGTATGAAGAAGAAGTTGAACACAGATTAGTTGTGCCTTTAAACCTTAGAAAGAGACCACTGGTAAAAAGGATAGTAGAATTTTTTTTTTTTTTAATTTTTATTTATTTATTTATTTTTATCAGTACCAGGCATCGAACTCACGACTATGTGCTTGCAAGGCAGGCGCTTATGCCGCTGAGCTAAATTCCCAGCCCCAGGATAGTAGAATTTTGTAAATATATAATGGCTTGGATAAATTCTGAGAAAAAAACATTGTAGGAAACTGTTTAGAAGTCAGTGCAAATACACACACACACACACACACACACACACACACTCACACAGACTAAACTTCTAGATATGACTGTGAAGGCTTTTAACAAAGAAGACAAATAAAGCTAGCCATGTCCTTCAGAAGTCCTGTCTCTTAATACTATCATAATGTATATCTATAATCCCAACACTCAGGAGGCTGAGGTGGGGTGGCCATGAGTCTAAGGCCAGTCTGAATTACATAGTGGAACCCTGACTCAAAAAAAACTAACAAAAAGTAAATTTAATAAGAAGACAGGGGCCAGGGGTTTAGCTCAGTGCCTCAGTGCCTGCCTGGCAAATGTGAGAGCCTAAGTTCTGTTCCTGATACTTCCCTCCCAAAAAGAAGAAGAAGGCAGCAGACAAGCTGGGGAGGTAGTGGTAGAAGTGCTTGCCTAGTATGTGTAAAGCTGTGGTTCAACCTTCAGCACTTCAAAAACAAAGCCAAACAGAAGACAAAGCAAGAGAAGTAATCAAATATGGCCAATCAGCATGCAAAGTTCATAAAATACAGAAGACACTCTGGACTAGTCTAAGTACCCCAATATGGGATACCCTGCTGGAAACTCTGAGTAGCTAACTCAGCTTGCAGAGTAGGTGAAACTCAAAGGAAACTTCAGCTCTGATGATCACATTCTCCCTTTCTGTACTCTTAACTTTTCTTTTGAAGAATTCTATGAGACATTTTACTGTTAAATAAAAAGAACTGTATTTTCTTAGCATATTTTCTTAAAAATAGTAATCACATGGCTTTAAATAAAACTTGTATTAAACAGGTTCAATTGTGAATATTTTTATAGTTATGTAATCCAAAGGAATTATTGTTGGGCTTGCTTGAACTGATTGAAGAGCCCTCTGGAAAACAGATATCCCAAATTATTCTTCTTTTACTTCAGCCATTACAAACAGGTAATGAACATTTTTATATCAGAGTACCTGCTTTACTCATGTGTCTTAATGTTTACCCCAAAATGTCAACAGGACACCAAAGTAAAGTTCTGGATAAATTATTGAGCACTGTGCTTATAGTAGTAATAACAGTGCCAATTTGAATTTTGTACAGTGTACCTGACAAAATGGCTACCCAGTGAATATTATGCTAGATACAAGAATTACCTCACTTTTTATTTTTCTTGTGCTGTGTTGTAACCTATAGCTTTTTTGGTTAACACTCCTATCTGCAGTTTATATTTTAAAATTTCCCTCTAAACATATTTAAAAGGTTACCTCTGTAGTATGTAACATGTTCAGTCTGATAGCATTGTGGTAGGCCTATATGTTGATTAAGAAGAGTACCAAGCAGGGTACGGCCAAATCTCTACGTTGGGAAACTGGGATTGAAAATAGTGAAGGTACATTTTATGACTGAAATTAGGAAATACATGGAGTTAAGGCACAATGGCAGAGTATAATAATATTGGTAAGTAATAGGTCTTGGCAATAAAGATGGACAGTATTGATGAGTAGAAGCTAATTTTCATTTAAGGAAATACGCATATCAGACTCTGATAGAATGAATCAGAATTAGAAATTAGAGCAAATTCATTTTAAATATGAATGGTTACAAGCTTATAAGTTTGTGCCACTTAAAATATTCAAAATCTTATGCAGAATAAAATTGCTGCCCATTTGTTCAGTGCCTTACAGTTTACCACTTACAGTTTGTGCTTAAGACCAAAAAATATGAAAAGAATGTGTTTGTGCTTTAAGTATATAACCAGTTATAAAAACACAGAAACATCATAGCTTCTGTTATAAGGTGGTTCATTAATTTCTATACCACCAAGAAGGAAAAAAAATACTCTCAATTAAGCTATGTCATCTCAGAGTTACTAAAATGTGAGGGAAAAATGTTTCATGTAATTCTACGTGATGAATTTTTTGTCCTACATTTAGCAAACTTGATGAAGCTTCCTCAAGTAACAATTTGGTCTATGTTTTAGTGATTCAGAAACTTCCTAACAACAAGGCATATTCAGTTGGATTAGCATTGTCTACCCTTTGGAATCAACTGTCTCTTCTTCCTGTTCCTTACTCAAAAGAACAAATACAAACAGATGACTATGGCCTTTGTCAGTGTTGCAAGGCCTTAATAGAGTTCACTAAACCTTTTGTGGAAGAATTTATTGTTAATAAAGAAAACAAGGAAGATGAAAACAAAAAATTAAAAGATGAATTACTGAAATTGTAAGTATATTTCAAAGGACATTTCACAATGGATTTAAGTAATTGGTAGTTCAGTGATTTTGTTATCTGTTTCACAAATTAGTTTCGAACTTTGAATTTTAGAAGACTAGAGGTCACCTGATATAGAAAAGGCTTTTAGTGAAGCATTGATATTTTTAAAAATCAGAAAACCAAATCCATTCATTTAACTTACTTCATTTAACTTACTTCACTACGTTTTCTTTATATTGCATTTACTCACCAATAGAAAGTATCTTAATGGGAGCGGGGGAACTTGATACAGGTAATTCAAAGAATCTGTTTGGTGATAAAATTGTGTTTTTACTGTTCTTATGAAAAGAGCAAGAGAATCACCATACAGTTGAACATTCAGCACAAAAACAGCAAAGCACTTATTCAATAGCATTCACTCTCAAGGTACTATGGACTAAACGTACAGTGTTCACTATGACTGTCAAGCACTTAATACCTGAATTGTCTAATTTAGTATAAAATACCCTCTAGACTTGAAAACTTGATTTAAAAAAATAGTAGAATACGTTAGTTTTTTATATTGATAACATGTTAAAATAGTTCAGCTATATTGGGTTAAAATAAATTATGAAAAATAATTTCTGCTGTTTATATGACAATTAAGAAATCATATATAGAGAGCTTGCATTATATATCTATTGGGAAATGCTGGACTAGATTATTGCATTACATGAACTAATAACTTTATTTTGAAGTCTAAAGCTATTGTAAACTTTCTATTCTGTCAGGTTGGGACATTTACATCTTTGGTTTTATAGGCATTGAATTACTGGTGCTTATCTTAGTCCATTTGTGCTGTTGTAATAGAATATGTGAAACTGGGTAATTTATAATGGATGGAAATAAATTGGCTCACAGTTGTAGAGAATGAGAAATGTAAGATGAAGGTGCCAACATGTGGTGTAGGCTTTTCTGTATTATCACTTGGCACAATGTGGAATGGTAGAAAGACAGAAGGAGGGGTGAATTTACTCTTTTATTAATTCCTCCTGGGAGGGTGAAGCCCACCTGGCCTAAACACCTATCAAAGTTCCTACTTGTTACTATTACAGTGGCAACTTAATTTCAGCATGTGTTTTGGAGGGGATAAACATTCAAACCAGTAGTCCTTATTTTGTTTTTTAATGTAATATTGTACATGATGACTAGGCATTTTATACTTGAAAAGTATTGGTTTCATAGTTAACCTATTTCTTATGTCTTAGTTGTTTCAAAAGCTTGAAATGCCCTTTACTGGCAGCGCAATTCCTTGAACAATCTGAAGCAGGAAATGATCCTTTAAGGTGTTTTGCATCTGAAATAATAGTAAGTACAGCTAGATTTAATCTTCTACCCTATTATTTCTTACTTGTGTACTTTAAATGGACATGTAAATTGATAACTTACTAATAAAGCAGTATGTGGTTTTGTACAACAGATATAAACAAAAAGGTGGAAAATAAGACAGCAGTAATTTTCATTATCTAAAGACAAATACTATTAACACTTCCCATTTCATACCATAAGGCAAAATATTTGAGGATTGAACCTTGTAAGGTGGGGACCATCTTTATCTAATACCCCAAAGGAACAAGGTTTAAGGAGAAGTGTTTTAATAAGAGAAAATGAGACCACCAAAAGGGTTTACAAATGAACTCTAGAAACTGTCATTACTAATAGGACACCCCAAGAGACCAGGGAAAGAGTCAAAGAAGTGGCAGAAATAGAATAGAAATTAGAGTAATAGTTTCAGGAAGTAGTGATCAGTACTGTTAAATATAGCAGAAAAAACTGAAAAGGTAAGAGTTGAAAGCACCTACTGGATTTAGGAAGATGGCAGTGATAATCTTGACAACACTAGTTTGAATGCCACTGCATGTTAGAGACATGTGAATGAAGGAATGACACAAAAGAAAATAGAAATGAATTGTATATACACACAAAAACAAGTATACACACACTCATTGCCCCTGGCACTAGGGATTGGATGTAGGGCCTTGAACATGCTAGACAAGCTCTCTACCACTGAGTTATATCCTAGGTTCTTTATGTTGAGACAGGGTCCCACTAAATTATCCAGGCCAGTATCATACTTGTGATTCTCCTGCCTCAGCCTCCTGAGTAGCTAGGATTACAGGGTATGCTACCATGCCTGGTTCATATATGCAATTCTTTTTAAAAGAGTTTGGATGAAATCCCAGTACTTGGGAAACTAAGGCAGGAAGATTGTGAGTTTGAGGCCAGTTTGAGGCCAGTTGTACATAGTGAGACCTTTTCTCAAAACACAAAAGCAAAATAAAATGAAAACTTGGATGTGTAAGAAAGGAAACTGGCTGTAGCCAGAAAACATGGGCAACAGAAGCAACATAACAAGAGAGATGAGGAGGCTTGAGTATATTTATAGGCTGATGGGGTATAAACTATTAGAAAAGTGATTTACGGGATAACTGAAATATGGTAATATGGCCCAAGAGCAGATAATTAGTCATGGGATCAAGGGATAGGAGGAGAAGCCCAGTATAGTAGTACACCCTATAATTTCAACACTGAAAAGGGCTGAGGCAGGAGAATTGCAAGTTAAGTCCCGCCTAGACAACTTGACAAGACCCTATCTCAAAATTTAAAAAGTTATTAGGTTAGAGATATATCGCAGTGATAGAGCATCCTGGGTTCCAACCTATTACCACACATAGAAAATAAAGAGATAGGAGTGAGGATTAAGTAAGTTTTCAGGAAACTGGGAAAGGTTTAGAGTACTGAGGGGAGAGGAAGGAGATGGTGGAAGATTGTGTGTTAGTAATGTTAGCATTTGAGTGTGGTCGAAGACCATAGCTGTGGAGATCTCAGATATCCATAGCAGCACTGTAGAATCTAAAAGTTTCCTCTGGCAAAAAGCATTCTGTCCAGTAGCACTGACTGAAGAAATGGAGCTTCATGATTAAGGGGACGTTTAGAATTTGAGTGTTATACACTTTTGTATTGTAGCTGTAACAAGAGTATATGGCTTTGAAAATCAGTGTAACACTATATATTTAGCAGCTGGTAACTCAATAGCAGTCTCTTATCACCGAAGATGATTTTCCATGGTTCTTATTTGTGTTCTAAAGTGACTAATGGAATCATCTGAGATCAGCGATTTCTACTCCCTAAAGTTGGGAAAGTATTATTTGGCTTTATACTTCTCTGCAATGTCAGACCCAGTATCTATGACTAAAGGGTTAACTGAGTAAAAGTGAATATAGAGAAGGTCAGTATTCATTCTGTTTTAGCTGTTGCTGCCATTCATTTCTGTTTAGCTATTTTAGGGTAATTTGTTATGAACTTAAAACTTTTTGGGACTGCTCAATTAATATTTGATACAGGTATTGTGTTATTTTCTGGCTAAGATAAATAAAGCTTAGAGAGATTAAGTAACTCATCCAGCTAATGAGTGGTAGAGCCCAAACTCAAAAGTCCTTTCCAGTGAGCCAGGTATAGTGGTACATATTGATACTCCTAGCTGCCTAACAGATTGAAGCAGGAGGATCAGAGGTTCAGGATCAAAGACGACATAGTGAGACACTGAATCACCACACACACAAAAATTTGTTTTAATTCCAATAGATAATGAAAGTCAAATGCTTTGTAATATACGAGAATTAGAAATAGTAGAAGAGCACAGGACTCACTTGGTGTTTCATAAGAAAGTTTTGATGCTATACGACTTGAGAACCTACATGACTTGAGATGTCACGTGGGTGTTTTGGCTTGCCTGAGTGGCACTAAATGAAGAATTGTCTTAGTTGCATATTAAAATGTATTATATTATTAAATAACAAGATTGTTTTGTATCTGTTATTATACTATTTCCTGAGGCCCTGTGCTGCTGATCAGCATTCTTTTTAGCCCACTTAATGTTGAGGCAGGCAGTGGTCAGTGGGGCACTCACTGTTCTTAGACTAGATTTTATCTAAGAAGCTGGTTTACTGTCATTTCATGATATAGTTCACATTTTTGTGTTACTCTTGAATATCCTGGAAGCACTTTTAAAAAAAATTGTAAAATATGCATAACATAAAATTAAGCAAACCATTTTTAAACATACAGTTCAGTGGCATTAAGTCTACATTGCTATGCAACTGTCATTATTATCTGTCTAAAAGAACATTTTAATCTTCCACCTAAAACTCTGTTTCCATTAAACACTCACTTCTCTTTCTCTCTTTTCTCTCACTTGGCAACCACCACTCCTTCTGTCTCTATATCTGAACATTTATTTTTTTTAACGTGAAATGATTTTCTTCTGTTCTTTTCAAAGCCTTTACCCAGAAGTCAGGTCATTTGACAGTCAATAAAATTCATTTCTGTGTGTATCTTAAATTATGATTCTGAATTAATTTAGAAACCATATAAATACCTCTGTATTCGTTTTCTGCTGCTATGTAATGAATTCCTACAAACCCAGCAGTTTAGGCTTTTATTCTCTCACAGTTTCTATGGCCCTGAAGTCCAGCCACAGTTTGGTTCTTCTGCTTAAGTGTCTTATCAGGCACTCTTATCAGAACCTTCATGGGAAAGATCCTCTTCCAGTTCCCTGAGGCTGCTGGCATAATTAATCTTCTTGAAGTTACATGACTGCTGTTCCTATTTTCTTGGTATTGCCTTCCAGGTCCACTTGGAGCTCCTGAAGGCTAACCCGCAGTCCCTTGCCACACAGTCCTCTCCATAGTTCCTCTTATAATAGTGTAACGTAGTTCTTCAAAGCCAGCAAGAGAGTTTCTGGCTTTTAAGGAAAACCTAGACTTTCTCTAAAAACTATCTGCAAAATCAACTCATTAGAGACCTAAATTACACTGGCAAAAGTCCCTTCTAATCATAGAAATGACATCCATATTTTATTGGTTAAAAGCCAGTTTCACAGATCTAACCCACACTCATATAGGGTGAAGGAGCCTCTTAGAATCTGTCTGTGGTAACTTTTTTTTTTTAAACCTATTTCACAGGGTTTTTTATCAGCAATTGGACACCCTTTTCCAAAAATCATTTTTAATCATGGAAGGAAAAAGAGGATATGGAATTACCTTGAATTTGAGGAAGAAGAAGACAAACAATTAGCAGACTCTATGGCCTCTCTGGCATATCTAGTATTTGTTCAGGGCATCAGAATTGATCAGCTGCCAATGGTTTTAAGGTAAGAGTTAAGTGTTGGTTTATTCATGAATTCTAAAAGGAGCATCACACTTTCATTTATCTATTGCCCACTATAGACATAATACCTTTAAAATGAAGTATTAAAAAAAGGCTATTTTTATTCTAAATAATACTAAATCTGGTAGTAGTCAAGTAATGAAAAGGGATGACTTTTAAAATATATGTTAGGGGATGGTGGACATGTCTAGGAGTGGTAGTGTACCCCTGTAATTCCGGCATGCTGGGAGGCTGAGGCAGAATGATCTCAAGTTCAAGCCTAGCTTAAGTAGCTCAGTGAGACCCTGTCAAAATAAAAAATAAAAGAAGGTCTGGGATGTAGTTCAGTGTGAAGATCCTAGTTTCAATACCTAATACGTGGGTGGGAGGGAAGGTAAGTGTTAAGACATTCTTGGTTTTGAAACCTGGGGCCACTGTCGATAGTACTAATAAGCAGGGGAACTGTCTAGGTATTCATGTTTACCTTCATCACGTTACTGAATGACTTGTATACATATTTATATATCCATTCTCACTCCTATTTAATCCAGCCTATTCTCAGCACATTAGCAAGTGAAGCTTTAAGTGAAGTAATTTATTAAAAATGTTTCCTCATTGCCTTCATGTGACTCCTGAGACAAACTTCTTCAGGATCTGGTCCCTGTTTGATTGTCCTTATTCATCTCCTGGCACCTTTCCTCTTGTTTAGTATGCTTCCATAACAGACCTTCTGGTGTCTTATTCAAATGTGTTGTGAACTTTCCTATTATGGGGCCGTTGTAAATGCTAACTGTCTTTATCCTTAAATGTCACTTTCTCAGTGAAGCCTGCTCTTACTCAATTTAGCTGGAATTCTCCCATTAGAATTACTTTGACCTTGACCTCTTTTTTCCATAGTTTATCAAGTTATTTAAAAAACAAATACTTTTGTATATAATGCCTTCTGGAGTTTAAGATCTACGATAATATGTATTACGTATTTGTCTCACAGGTATTGGGTATATTTGTATAAATTGATGTATTTCTGAATACATCTAGAGGTATTTTTAAGTAACTATTGCAGTAAAGGTTACTATTTGCTTGTTTACTATGTAACTGCTTTAATGCAGTTAATCTAATCTTTATAAAACCCTGTGAATAGAGCACAAGTGCAGATAAAAATAACAGGAGCCAGGACTAATATGTAGAATATATAAACAACTCAAAAAAATCAGGACTCCCCCTACAAAAGGCCCAGTCCCCCCCCCCAAAAAAATGGACAATTGAAATGAATGTATACTTCTCAAAAAAGGAATACAGGGACCAATAAAAACATGAAAAACTGTTCAGCATCTTTGGCTGTTATGGAATGCAAATCAGAACAACAGTTAGATTCCATGTTAGTCCAATATAAATTTCTATCATCAAGAACTCAAAAAAAAAAAAAAAAAAGAAAGAAAGAAAAAAGAAAAGAAAAGAAACAAATGCTGGTGAGGAAGAAAAGAAACCCATCCATAGGGTTAGCAGGAATGTAAACTAGTATAGCCACTAGGGGCATCAGTATAGATTCCTCAAAAAACTACAAATAGAAATTCTACTTGACATAGCTATCTCTCCTGGAAATCTTCCTGAAAGAATTATAATCATCATGTTACAGTGTTCCACATACACCAGTGTTTATAGCAGTGCTATTTACAATAGTTAAATTATGGAAACTACATATACTCCCATCAGCAGATGAACAGATAAAAAAAGTGATACACACAGAGAGAGAGAGAGAGAGAGAGAGAGAGAGAGCGAGAGAGAGAGAGAGAGAGAATGGTATTCATTCAGCCATAAAGAGGAAAAATATGAGTCATTTTTAGGAAAGTGGATAAGTCTATAATGTTAAGTGAAATAAAACATTGGAAAGTTCAATATCACATGATTTTTCTTAAACTGAAAATAAAAATGTAAAGGGCAGAACTGAAGAAAAATGGTAAACTTTTGGGATTTGGGAGAGGAGGATAGGGACAAAAAAAATGATTAAGATAATATATATATCTGTCATGATCATCATACATCCACACTACTTTTCTGTTATGAAAGCATGTATTTTAACATAGTGGATCATCTCCATCATCTATGCGTAAATAATATAATGATTCCCTTTTGACCTCTAAAACTTGCAAATTGGATTTTTCATGTGCCATTTTATTTTGTTAGGCTTCTTCTACCAGCAAAATCAAAAGAAAACTTTAAAAAACAAACAAACAAATCCTAGAGTGATGTGGGTGTATGGCACCCTCTATGATGTTCAGGTAAACATATGCCAATCCTATTAGACCGCAATGTGTGAAAATCCTAATTTGACACTTTTGTACATGCTACACTCCTTGCTTTCATCATATCAAGTAGATAAATGCAAAGATTGCTTCCTGTATCCAAAAATTTACATAAGGGATGTGTTTGTGGAACCCAATGTTATGCCTTCCTATCACCAGAATAACTTACATACCTATTAATTTGCTAAGCTTCCTGTAACAGAGTATTACAAAGTAGATGGTTAAAGTAAGAAATGTTCTTATCTCATTGTTCTAGAGCCTAGAAGTCTGAGAGAAACTGCTTTAGAAGGCTGATTCCTTACTCTACTGTGAAAAACTCATATGTCTGTCCCTTAACATCCAGTTTTTGATGTTCTTTTAGCTTATACCTTGTCCTGTTTTCTACTTCATATGTAAAATGGTATTTTTGTATGCATGTCTATCCAAACTTCCTTTTTTAATAGACATCAGTCATACTGAGTTACCCCAAAGGTTCACTGTATATTATCTCTCTAAAAACCAAGTAATATTTTGAATACTGGAGTTTATGACATAATTCAACCCATAACATTATGTATATATATAAAGCTTTAAAAAACATGTGTGAGCTATTTGATGATTCCTGCTTGAAATCCCAGCACTCTGGAAGGCTGAGTCAGGAGGTTTGTAAATTCAAGCTAAGAATGAACAACTGAGTGACTTAGCAAGACCCTGTCTCAAAATAAGAAATAAAAGAAGGGGTTGAGGTATAGCTCAGGGTGAAGACCTTGTGTTCAATTCCTAGTACTGCAATAATGCTTGAATAAATGCTTCTGTCTGTGTATACACATATTTTATGCATTTTTTTCTATTTTAGTCCTTCATACATTTTGCAGTTTAATATGGGTCATACTGAAGTCTTTTTGCAAAGGTGAGAAGATCATTTACACAGTATGTATGGTTTAAACAATAGTATTAAAATAGTTTTTCTCAAGATCAGGGGAGACTGCCTTCTCTTTGCTAGGCCTTAATTAACTAATTATTTTATAAAATAATTGAGTATACCTTTTTTTCCTCAGGGGTTTTCTAGGTGTCCCTTTCTAAGGTTAGCCTTGTTTCAAAAGATGGTAAATTGCTGGGCATGGTGGTACATGCCTATAATCTCAGCACTTGAGAGGCTGAGGCAAGAGAGTCACTGCAAGTTGAGGCCAACCTGGGCTACAGAGTGAGTTCAAGGCCACCCTAAACTACGTACCAAGACCCTGTCTGAAAAACAACAACAAAAGGTGTTGAAACACCTTTACCTCACTGTAACTTCTTCCATCTGAGTAAGAAGTCCATGTTTTCACTGCATGGACATAGTCTGAACTGCATCAAGAGGAAGAGGCAGCTTGAGTTCACATTTTATAACTTAGATAACTAGCAGTGATGTCATTTAATTATAGCTTTTTCATCAGAGGTGCCAAGAAAGGAAAAAAAAAAAAAATGACAAGGTAACAGGCATTTGTAATTTCTTCAGATTTAAGAATAGTGCACAGCTCTCTCTTCTTTTTTGGCCTATACTGTGTTTAAATTATCTCTTGAGAGTAGTCAGGACCTTGCAGTATTATACACTAGAAACATTAGTCATGGTTTATCAGTCCCATGTTTTCCTAGGTGAAGAAAAATTTGTAACTTGGCAAATCCAAAACCTCAGCCTACAAAGCAGAATTTTCTAGGTGTCTCTTGGCACAAGTAGTTATTAACTCTGTAAATTTGTTTCACTATATATGTTTTAATGATTGTATATTAATTTCATATACTTTGTATAATTCATACAGTGAAAGTACATAGTTTTAAATCTAGTATTTTTGAGATTTGCAAAATATTTTGTTATTGAACTAAAAAGTCAACTATAAAATAATGTCAGATGTAATTTATTTTTTTGTACTTGCTATTAAAGATGTATTGATTTGAAGTACAGAAATAAACTCTGTACAGGGTAATTTGATTAGATGTGATAAAAATCAACACAGATAAAAGTAATTAAGAATTTTAATTCATTCTTCAATAGAATTTTTCCTTCATATTAATGTATTTTTAGTCTTTACATTTCATTTTGTTTTCCTAAATAATCATTCTAAATTTATAAAGTCATTGATAAATTTTAACATTCTCTTCCAGAACAGAAGAGTCTATTTTGTCCAAAGGATTGGTAAGATTTGTTTTCTCCCATTTTAACTTATTTATTGTTTTTTTCTTTTTGAGACAGGGCCTTATGATGTAGTTTAGGCTAACTTTGAGCTCCTAATGTAGTTCAGGCTGGCCTTGAACTCATATAGTCCAGGCTGACCTTGAATTTGCAATGATCCTCATGCTTCATCCTCTGTAGAGCTAGGTTACAGGCATGTACTATGTGACTGGCCCTCATTATATTTTAAATACATAGTCATGTTGAGAAATATGACTGTTGATTTTGCCTCCTACCTGTCTGCATATATTTTAATTTGTAGGAACTTCTGGAGAGTGGTTTATTGAGAATAGAAGATAACAGTCTACTTTACCAGTACTTAGAAATCAAGAGTTTTCTTACTGTACCTCAGGTAAATAAAATGTGTATTCTAATCTTAAAAATAGTTCCTTGCCTATTGTGAACTTTAAGTAAGGTCACAATTCCTGTCCTACTTTTCTACTTCTGAAAACTCTAGTGTCATTTTATCAAGTAAAACTTTTTGTGATGATAGAAGTGTTCTCTTATATGTGCTACACAGTAAGAAAGCCAATGCCTTTATTGAATAGTTGAAATGTGGAACTAAATTTTAAATTTAATTTAATTTAAATTTAACTATTAGTAGCTACCATAATTTATGTCATCACATCTAGTGACAAACATAATTTTGTTAATACTTTGTATCTGTAGGGATCTTGGAAAATTATGCTCCTTTACTGTACCCATAACTCACGTTCTTAGAATTCCATCTGAAGCATGCATTGACTCATTACTAGAAAGACTACCATATACTTTTCCCCTCCTGTGGTTTATTAGTACTCTTGGTTGGTTATTATATTGAGGTATATCCTTAGTTGTGAGTGGAGAAATTTCCTAAAACATAGGTTTTGTTATTAAGCTTATTTTTAATGAATGCATATTATGCATATTTGATTTGATTTTCTTGCCACTCTAAACATAACTGAAAATTATGATTCACTTTCAAAATCACTTTGTTACTTGCAAAATTGGTTGTAGTTAGTGTCTGTAGATGTAATGGTAGAATGAAAACTTCAGGGAAAAATAAATGTACCTTTTTTGTCAGTCTCCCACCCCTATAATTTCCTACCACATCTTTGAATTTTTAGTATCCACCATTGATAACCTAGTTGTTTACAGTCAATATAATGTTTATATTCTCAATTTAAACTTTTTTTATTTCCAGAGCTTAGTCAAAGTAATGACACTTTGCCCCATTGAGACACTGGTATGTAAATTGGGGGATTAAATAATAATGTTACAGTGAAAAATTTTGACAGTTTAATCTTTATTCATTTTATGTAACAATATTATGTGTTCCATTTTAGAGGAAAAAAGGCTTAGCCATGCTTCAATTGTATATTAACAAGTTGGATTCACAAGGCAAATATACATTATTTAGGTATGTATCCAGCATGACTAATGGCTAAGTATGTAGCTGATGGGAAACCAAATGCCAGCATTACAGTATTTCAGCAAATTTTACATGTAATGCTACCATAGTTGGAGGCAATATTGTAAGTTACCTGTGACAAGTAGAGAAGGAGTTTATCAAATATTTTGTACAATATATATACATATTATAATGAATAATAGTATATATCTCAATTCAATTAATTGAAATACTCTAAAGTTTTGCTTCTGGATCTGTGGAGAATCAGAACATCATGGCTGCAAGCAAGTGGCAGAGGAGTTGCTCACCTCATGCAGGCCAGTAAGCAGAGAAAGATAGAGGAATGATTGGGATCCCAAAATCCTCTACAAGGGCATACCCCAGTGACCTGGCTTCCTTCCAATAGGTCCCACCTCCTGCAAGTCCCGTCACTTCCCAACAGTGTCATCATCTTGTGATCAGGCTTTTTCAACACATGAACCTTTAGGGAACATTAAAGATCCAAACTATAACCTTAGTCATACGTGGAGTCTTCTTTTGCAGTTAAGCTAACCAGCATGCATCTACTTCAAACAATAATTTTGGAAGGTTTTATTATTAAGTTATAACTATGCACAAACAGATTCAAATTGGATTAATAGAAATTTCTTTTTGAAAGATCTGAGTTTGTGTTTGATTAATCACTGTCTTCACTGTGGATTTATATTCCTGGAAGTAACAACACATGGCCCATTTGAATTTATAAAACTTGTATCACCATTTAGTTGTAATGCAGTTCAGTGTATTTTCATGTACTGTAATTTTGTTTTCAAGGTGCTTATTGAATACAAGTAATCACTCAGGTGTGGAGGCCTTTATTATTCAAAATATCAAAAATCAAATTGACATATCATTTAAGGTAAGAGCATAGCAAAAGTACTGATTAACAATTTATTTTAATTATATGTGGAATATATAATATAATTTAGTGTGAAAGTATATTCTTATTTCTACTATTTAAATTGAATTAGAAAATTTTAACTGTATTTTAAGTTGTAGTCATTGAGCTGATAACAATGACTTTTTGTTTTTTGGGTTTTTTGGTGGGGAATTATTCTGATAATTTCCCTATGTGTTCTGGGGATCAAACTTGCGACTTAGTGCTTACCAGGCAGGCGCTTGTGCTACTGGGCTAAACCCCTGGCCCCAACAGTGACTTTTTGTTTTGTATGTGTTTTTGAAAAATAAGTAAAAATTTGGTAAAGCTTCATCTATTTGTGAATACTTAGTAATTTCATATAGAAAACAGACAGCAACTACTTTGTTCTCCGATTGACGGGATTTACTCTAGATGTCTGGAAGATAAAGTATAGATTTTAAGTTTAAAAAATTTTAATATGTAAGAGTTTACTTTTGTAGTATGAAGTGTTAGAAAGCATTACTTATACTATTAATTAAACATTGCCCAATTTTTCTTTGCTTTTCAGAAAACGCCTAACAAATGGTTTACAGGACCACAGTTGATTTCTCTTTTAGATTTGGTACTGTTTCTCTCAGAAGGTGCTGAAACAGATTTACTGCAAAACTCAGATAGGTGAGGTGATTATCACTAAGGTTCAAACAGTAAACCACCTAAAATAATAAAACATACTTTTCTGTGGTTTATATAATCTACAGTTACTTCATAAAATTTTAACTTTCATATTTGTTTGTCAATGTATAGAAACAAAGTAAAAATTTTCGAGAAGAATCACCAACACAAATTTTGTATCCTTAATGTGCTCAGAATTCCGAAATTTGTAACTATAGCATATAAGACTAAAAATTATAGATCTCATATATAATTATAAGAAACTTAGGTATTTGAGTTTGTTGTTTTATTTTGTTTTCCAGGGTTTTTTTCCCCCAGATAGAACATATAGTTTCACTTTTGTTATACTGGAATGGATGTTGAGAAATGTTTATAAGCACTTATAAAAAGAAAAGAATCTTAAAATACAGAAAACAAGTGGTGATACTCTCAAATATTAAGAATAACAGGGTTTTTTTGAGGGGGGAAAAATAGTAATCTTCACCATTGTATTCTATAAACTTAAATGCTAAAAAGAGTAGTAAACTATTACTATTCTAGAAGGTGACAGGAATTTTCTAATGTCAAATGTAATTATACAAATATTCCTAATGTTTTCACTTTCTTCATGCATTGAAATAGCAGTTGATTATATAAAACAACTGTAACAAATTACATACTTTTAATTAACAGGATTATGGCTTCATTAAATTTATTGAGGTATTTGATTATCAAAGATAATGAAAATGACAATCAAGTAAGTTAATTATTTGAAAAAGAAACTGTGAGTATATTTAAAATGCATAAGAATGTTTCACATTTTCTTAGTATCTGTGTAAGTCAGTGTTTAATGTTTTACTCAGCTACAAAGGCTGGGAAAGGTGCCAACAGTTATTCTGACTCCTACATTCTCAGAAGCACTTACCATTCTGTATCCAACTTCCTTTTCCTGTTTTGCCTCTCTTGTCTCATTGCTTAGCTGTAGTGGACTAGCTCTGTTGCAGGCCCCAAATTAACTAATCTCGTGGAACTCGATATATATTTGGGTGACTTGTTAATTTTCTTCTATCCATATTTCATGATTTAAGTCTGAACTATATAAAACTACCTGATATTTAATATCACTTCATCAATCATGACAGATTGAAGAAGCATTTTCAGTACTGAAATTGAATTTGTTAATAAGATCTTTTGTATAATGTGTAGGAAGTTGATTTTTTCAACTAGCATTTCATTAGAAGTATTTAAATAGAAAACTATTTGAAGGAGATTTGTCATACTGTAAAATTAATTTGCTTTTTATCTTCTTTCTACCTACTCTATTCTAATAATTGCTTTCCCTATGTGTGTCATCCCTGTTAACTGTAACCATCTGAATCATGTGTTGTTATTCTGGTTTCTTAAAAGAAAGTAATAGAATGAAAGCAATTGATTCTATATAAAGGTGCCAAAGAAATTTTTTTTTTGTCTTTTTCTTTTTTTTTATCGGTACCAGGGATCGAACTCACGACTGCTTGCATGCAAGGCAGGCACTTATGCCGCTGAGCTAAATCCCAGCCCCAAAAGAAATTTTTTAACACTGTGAATCATGATTTGGGATGAAAAGTTAATGGGAAAAGTAGCGATTTCCTTCTCTCTCTACCGATTTAGTATAGCGAGTTATTTGACCTCTTGTTTATCCCTCTTTAGCTAATCACTAATTGCTCTCAGACTGATGCTTACTCTGTACCAGATGTTAATTTCTTTCTTTTCAACATTTTATTGTGAAAAATTTCAAATACACAAGTAAGCTTAAAGAATTTTACAGATCATTGATTTGCTTACCACGTAGCTCCTATTATTTTACTCTACTTGCTTTATTAGGTATCCATCCATTCTCCATTTATTGTTCTTATTTTTTGATACCTTTCAAAGCTGCAGAAGTCAGCGTAGTTTGCCCAGAATATTTCAGCACTTATTTCATTAAGTAGACTTAAAATATTTGTCAGTTTTTTGTGAAGTAAAGTTGATATAAAATATACAAATTTTTTGTTTTAAATCGGGATCTAACTCATGACTGCCTGCTTACAAGGCAGGTGCTAATGCCGCTGAGCTAAATCTCCAGCCACCAAAATATACAAATTTTAAGTCTGCAATCACTGTTTTAATAAATACATAGATGTATTTTATCCTAAACCATATCAAACACAGACCATTACCATCATCAAAAAATGCATCCTCCTGCTTTTTCCTACTTAATTCTGACTTGATTGCCCATTGCCAGCCCTGCCAAGAGGCAACCACTATTCTGGCCAGGTTTTGTATATCATTGTATATCACAAAGCTGAAAGAAAAGCACTTTTCTTTTCCCTTCTTCTGGTAATATAAGCACAGGAAAGGATCATTAAGTTCCATAAGAACCCATATCTAGAAAGATGTAGAAATAGCTATGATTCTAGGCAGTGGCCAGAACTTCTGACATCACAAATTCTGACTCCTAAAGGAGTAGTAAAAACAAAGGACAATGTAAGATTCAGCATTATTAGAGGCCCTGCCCCTTCAGGAAGGTGTCCTTAGGTAAGGAATGAGTTTTTACTTTTTTAGTAATCAGAAAAAGCTGTACCTACATAACAGATAACCTGAATTGTTGATTAGACCTGATAAACTTAGGAAGTGTGGGACATAGAGGCAGAGAAGGGCCTCTGACAAGAGAGGGAACACCTGTGAGTTCAGCATTGTATATCTGCTTTTATATCCACAGGCAATTCCTCACTTTTATTTGACGTAAACATTCTGTGGTAAAGAAAAGGATACAACCAAGTGATAGGACTTCCTTATTTAATGGTTTTCCATGTTTTTTCTCAAGCTTCAAACATTTCAAATCTTTGCCATATTAATTACCTGAAAAATCTTGGCCAAATGGCAGCCTGACACCTTTAAGGCAGCTTAAGAGCCTGTCTATCATGGAAACATTCTCTCAAGTACAATTATAGTAGATCATATATCTGAATGAGAGGCAAATGTAATAAAAAAATGTCAGCTTCTGGGACTGTGGGTTTATTTCAGTGGTACAGTGCTTGCTTAGTATGGGCAAAACCTTGGGTTCAGTCCATGGTGACCAAAAAAAGTAACTTTTGAGTGGGGCATTGTTTTTGAAATTTAGTTAAAAGAGGAAATAAATGATACTCTACAAAATGATACTTAGTTGGGGGACATTTTATTCAAAAGAATGAGTTCCTTTTTTTTTTTTTTGTCTTTTTCATTTTTATCGGTACCAGGGATCGAACTCACGACCACACACTTGCAAGGCAGGCACTTATGCTGCTGAGCTAAATCCCCACCCTCTACGAGTTCCTATTTTTGATCAGTTAAATATACTAAGGGTAACGCCTCAGATGAAAAGCTGAAAAGCAGTCAGAAAGGTACATAGGAAATTTAAATAATAACAGAATCATTCAAATACCAAAACAATAAAGTGATTCATATTTAAATAATAAGTTTCACTCCTACTGTTTTGCGTTACTGTCACCTGACTTACTCTTTTCATAAGCCATTTCCTTTCTCTCCCTATGTCATACATAGCTCTTTATTACCCTACATAAGTTATATATACTTTCTCCCACATTTCCATTTCACACAACTTTTTCTGAATCTGATAGTGTAAACCATGCTGTTACTAAAACCAATTTAAATTTTTATATCTAATTTTGTTTGTTTGTGGATATCTTTAGTTTGCTTTGATTTGGTTTGGTTGGTTCTTTGAAACAGGGTTTCACTATGTACTTCAGGTGGGCCTTGCCTCACTGTGTAGCTCAAGCTGGCCTCAAGCTCATGGCAGTCATCCTACCTAGCCTCAGCCTCAGGGTAGTGAGATTATAGGCATGTACCACTATGCCCAGGATTTTCTTGTTTTGAATTACAATAATCTATTCTAGTGCACAGATGTACAATTATAATTGTTATTTCTTACCTTCTATTCTGTGTATGCATAATCCTTTCCTGTCCATTTCCTTACCCATTGTTTTGTAAATTTTTTTTTTTTTTTTTTTTGGTACTGGGGATCAAACAATCTTGCGCTTGCCAGGCAGACACTTACACTGCTGAGTCAAAATCCTAGCCCCATAAATAGTCTCTAATTATAAAATGTTCAGCAAAAACAGTCAAGGGAAACAATGAAATTATAAATCCACAAGTAAACATCAGAAAATTTTGAAACTAAATTGTGTAATGTATTCATACATTTTGTTCATCTAGGAAGAAAACTACAAATATCTTGCATATGCACATACACATATGCCATAAATGTGTACATTTTATTTTTCACCAATATTAAAACATGTCCTGGCTGGAGGTGATTCAGTGGTGGAGTACTTGCCTACCACGTGCAAGGACCTAGGTTCAAACTCTAGCACCACAGAAAATAAATAAAATTTATCCCTTGAGTAGTATCTGTAGAGGTGAATGCTTCAGGTTATAGAAGCTCCTTTATATTACAAGTGATAGATATTTTGCAAGGTTATTTTGTAAATAAAAAGCCAATCTCAAAGTTAAAAATGGAATGCTTCTCCTTATGTAAGCAATAAAATAACAAAGGCAAGAAAACAGGAAACTAGAACATAGTCTTATAGATATGGAGCATGGGATTAGGGGAAGCACAGAAGAGAGAGCAAAAAGGGATAACAAGATGAAAATAATTAAAACTGTTATATGTATATACCAGTATAGCACATGAATCTCAAGCTGTATCATTAATACACACCAATAAAAAATAAAAGGGAAATCTGGCTGCTTTTTATCTGTTTTGTTGTTACAGTTAAGGATAATTATGTTTTTTTACCCAAGACATTTTCCAGTGAGAGTACCTAGAAACTTAATCCTAGTAGATTTTCTTCCTGTTTTCTTTCCTTTTAAAATTTTTTAATTAAATTAAGATTTCATTACATCCCTTCTTTAGTACTGTAGGAGGAAATGATTTTGAAATGAAAACATTGAAATGAAATAATGTAACAGAATAAGCTTCCCTAAGCAAAGTCTCCCTTAACATTCATTGGTCACAAGGGAAGTTCAAATTAGTATTGTATAGTAAATTTCCTACTAGGAAAGAGCCAATCATATGGAAGTAAGCATGGTAATGATACAGAAAAGTCTAGAGGGCCAGCAGCACAGCACCTACAGGGCAAGGGTGAGGCTCCTAGTTTGATTCCCAGTGCCATAAAAACAAGTTCAGAATTGAAGGCCTATTTAAGGTACAGTCATTGTATATAGGGAAAGAGAAATGTTTCAAAATGTGTGGATTATCATCAAATAATTTCCTCAAGGATGTATGTTACAGATTTCAAAATGAGGAACTATCCAGTGCCCCAAGTACATTTTCTTTTAATTGGTATTTTTGTTTTGCTTGATACTCAACTAGATATACTAAAAGTAAACTGTCTTGAAAAGCAAGGATAGTGTTTCATTCATTCTGTCTCTTTACTCTCTATGCATGAATAATGGTAGGCTATCAGTATGTACTGAAACAACTAATTCTTTCATTAATTCTTCTGACAGACTGGATTGTGGACGGAACTTGGAAAGATTGAAAATAATTTCTTAAAGCCACTTCATACAGGACTTAATATGTCAAAAGCACATTATGAAGCAGAAATTAAAAATAGACAAGAAAATAACCAAGGTTGGTAATATGCAATTTTCTTTTTAGTTATGTCTAAAATTACTCAGATTTTGGAACTGTTACATTCAAGATAAAGAACACTTTAATTCATGTTCAGTTTATGCCAGACAAGCATTATTTATGCCAAATGAAGAACCACAAGGGCTAAATCATTTCACTATAATTAAACTGATTCTTAGCAGATCTCTAAGCCAATTAACACTGAAATGGGGTTAATAAAGATTTACACCAAACTGAAACATAATGTTTCAAAGTTTTAAATTCTGATTAAGAATGTAGTTGTATGGGAAGTTAAGGCAGAAGAATCACAAGTTCAAGGCCAGTCTAAACAACTTAGAACCTGTCCCAAAATATAAATGGTTTGTGGGTGGAGCACTTGTCTAATATGTGCACGGCCTTGGGTACAATCTCCCGAAGTGAAAAAAAATTTTTTTAAGAATGTAGTTATATGGGCCAGGGATTTAGCTCAGTGGCATAAGCGCCTGCCTGGCAAGCTCAAGGTTGTGAGTTAAATCCCCGGTACCAAAAACAAAAAAAGAATATAGTTGTGTTATAAGCATTTTCCTTTTGTGCCATTACACTTTCTTTTGTATTGCCAGGTCCACTCTTGTTTTATCCTTAAATAAATCTATACAAATTATTAAAAAGAATCTTAATGCAGACTTATTTTAAGTCAGCAATTCTGCTATAATAATGTGATCTTTTCCATATATCTTTGGTGATATTTTTATAGGCATTATTAAAAATCTTATCTTTTTTAAAGGGCTATATTTAATATAAAAATGTTCTTATCTACAAAAGAATTAGTTCATGCATTGCAGAATCTAGTATTTGCTTATATTTTGATTTAATTATTTCCTGAGCATTTAAATAAGATTTGTTAATTCATACAAATAACTAAAACATTTAAGTTACTAAATGATGGAAGTAACTTATACTATTAAATTATATGTATTATTAAAATCTGAGAGTTGTTTTAATGGATGAGTTTGATGTGATTTTTCTTCTCTGACAGCAGTCCAGAAGTCTAAGGACCTTTGTTCTGTAACTGTAGGCAGAGAAGAGATTCCTAATATGCCTCCTGAAATGCAGCTTAAGGTGATCTGGTATTTTCTTAAGCTATATCTGGCTAGTCTTTTCTATGTCTTCTTTTAAAGGCAGCATTAATAATACTGTTTTTTCTTGGCATTACAGGTCCTACATTCAGCTCTTTTCACATTTGATTTGATTGAAAGTGTTCTAGCTCGAGTAGAAGAACTCATTGAAATAAAAACAAAGTCTACCTCTGAATGTAAAATGTTGGAATAAAGTAAAAGTTTTCCTTCCTAAATAAAAATTGATAAAACACTGTTTTCCATTATGCTTTATTTAGTACCTGTATAAATTTTTTTCTGCAAAAGAGATATCACTAGAAAAGTTAATGTACCCTTTTCAGTAGTCAAATTGTATAGAAATACATTATGGGTCATAGATTATGGTTTTAAAAAGGTAAAAATACTACATTTGAAAATTTGATACAAATTAATATTTTGTATTTCATAAATGGAGTTGAAAGGCTTTACTCATCAATAAAGTTGTGAATTTATAAAGAGACGGATACACTTTCTGCTTAAGTGCTGTGTAACAGTTTAGAAATCCTAGTGTCAGTTTAGATATCACACCACTATAAAAGTGATGTGCCTCACTTGGCTTCCCTTCATGTGCCTCAAAAACAGTCTTATGGAATAAAGTCCTTTTACAACCTCTCTAGCAGTTAATATGAAAGTACCTGCTAATATTAGCTTTAGATTAAAGGCTGCCCTGTGGAAAACCTTAAATTGCGTGTGTGTGTGTGTGTGTGTGTGTGTTTGTTTGTGTGTTTCCTTTTATACAGGGAGCTAATTAGAAAATTCTGTATTTTATTTGTTCTTATTTGTCCATCCAGCTTAATTTGTATCAAGAAACTGAGTTTTATAATTTACATCTGCTAATTTTTGAACATTATAAAAGGAAAATCAGTCATCAGAAATAAAATAGCCTTTAATTGAATCCATGTTATTTTAAGTTAATATAAACATCTTTAAAGTAAATATTATAACTTAACAAGTCTGATTATTTTTCTGTTCTTCCAAAAGAAAATTTGTAACTAGTTCTCTAATTTGGATTAATTGAACCACCAATCAGCTTTATCTTTTGAAGTGTTTTCCAAACAGGACTTTGTTCTATAATATAAGCTTTAGTTGTTATCATTCTGTAGCAGATGCTATCCATATATGGTTTAGAGGTAGTCTGCAAGAAGATATAAATGTGCAGCATTATTACATAGTCTTTTTTTCAGGATCATAAAAAAGTAAATCTAACTTTAAATTCATTCAGCAAATATCTCATGATCACCTTTGCACTAAAAAATAGACAGTATACAAGTTGTTAAAGTAACAAGCACCTGATCTGTCTCTTGAAGGAATTTCAAACATATAAGCCAAAATGAATAGTACAATAATTACTTTAATGGGGCTATGTTCCAAGTGTAAGAATAAGGAAGACCTAATTCTGCCAAGAGGAGTTAGGAGGAGTCTAGGCACATTTTATAGAGGAAGACAAGCATGAAAAGATAGCTAATAAAAACATTTCATTTAAAAACATGTTTGCACCCAGACCATCATGAGTGCCATCTGACCAGTTCTCTCCTCAGAATTCAAAGGAAGAGATAAGTAACCTATGGGCTCAACACAATGTATATATGCTCAAATACTCTTGTGGTCCAAAGTGATTCATAAATGGATAGTGGTTACCAAAAGTAAATTGAGAGGTTGAGTTCAGGATTGCGAAAGATTGTATATGTGAAAAAGCAACCTCTCTGAGATGAACAGAAACAGAGTGTTTGTCATTCCTGCTCAAGAGGGTGTGCAGTCTGAAACCAAACACTTGAAAACATATCATGTATGTTTTCCCCTCAGTGATTTACCTTAGCTATAGTGCACATAAGATTGACAGCATTTGCTGTGTTGTGTACTGGAAGTATCCGTAATTTACTCCCCAGGAATCTGAAAAAGTAAAATCCTAGGTTACACAGACTATATACCTTAACTGACATTTTTTTCTCTTAAAAAGGTATAAAGAAGAGACAACTCTGTTGTTTACTATGTGTGTGTTCATTCATGCCCTGCCTTATGTCGTAGAGGTAGCTTTACAGCCAGAGCTTTACTTTTGGTCTTGCAGGAAAAAGCAGCATGAACTCTGACCACCCTAAATCATACAAAAGCTATTTGTCCTAATTGTTATTAAATATGGCAAGTTGACATTATAAAATTAATCTAGCAAAACAAAACTACCTGCATGAAGAACTGAAGTAAATATAACACAGTATAATAAAAATGTTTGTAGTTGTATTTTTCCATACCTTTGCTGAATCCTGAATATCAGTTTCCATTCTTCATGCCCATAAAGAGCAGCAAACAGAACCAAAAAACTATTTTGGTGAATATTAAGAAACTTCTCAATTTTGGTTACAAATAGTTCTTTGGCTGACATAATGCATTCTTTAGCATCCATCAATAAAAATGCAACTCCTAGAAAGGTGAATGTTTAAGTCAGTTTTTCATACATAGCAATTTTGCAAACAAAAATCAATAAAATCCAAGCTCCCTCTATAACATGGGGATAAGAACTGTTAGCTTTTCAGAAGGGTCAAATAATGAAAAATATAAAGCAGCCAAAATATATAGTAGGTCACCAAAGATGATTTAATTTCCCCTGGAGGACTCTGTTAAACCAGAAAGGATGAGCTTTGAGGCTGGACCATTTTCAGATGAGGTGTATTTCAAAGAAGTTTTGAAAGCATTTATCTCCCAAAATCTCTGCCACAGTAGAACTCTATTTGCAGCCATTAAACTGCTTTACCTCTACTTCTGCCTTAGTCACTTGTCACTGGGACAGAATATCTGACATCCATAATTTTAAAAGGGAGAGGTGTATTTTGGTTCATAGTTTTTTTTTTTTTTTTTTTTTTTTTGTCGTTTTGTTTTGTTTTGTTTTAGAGAATTCAGCCATAAGCTGCTGGTTTTAAGTTAGAAAGGGCATGGTAGAAGGGTCAGGTGAAGGAAAGTTGCTCACTTCCTTGTGCCCAGGAAGCATTGAAAAACAGAGCCAGGGAAGGAGAACTATCCTTTCCGGTCACACCTTACTGAACTGGCACTAATCAGGTCCTAACTCTTAACAGTATGTACTCAGCTACTGAACACATTAGTGAATGACTCCACTGATGACTAAAGCACCCCCATAATCCGATCACCTTCCATACTCTACCTCTGAATACATGAGGCTTTGGGAGGAGATTCTAGACCATAACAACATTTTTATCCTATTATTTCCTAACCACAGGAAGAACTGCCCTCTTCCCATTGCCTCAGTTTTCTCCTACCCTAATCTAATTCCTGTGCTTTGCTCATAACTCATAGTTTTAGGATTTCAGAAAAATTTATTTGTTGACTGATAGTTCTTTAAGTCAGTATTTGTATCTAGTCAGTAAACTCATACAAAATTGTGAAAAACAATTCATGTGTACATTTTTGTCTATAAATTTTGGTCAATGATGTGATTTGGGGTACTCAATATAGTTAATATTTTATAACATACTTTTTTGTGTGTGAAGTATTTCAAGATTGAACACAGGGGCACTCTACTGCTGACCTATACCCCATGCCTATTTATTTATTTATTTATTTATTTATTTATTTATTAAGACAGTCTTGCTCAGTTGCCCAGAGAGGACCTGACATTGCCATCCTCATGCTTTAGTTTTCTTCAGTGCTCAGATTACAGGGGTGCATTATCATTCCTAGCTAATATCTTTGATTGTTGAGAAAGTGGCTTTTTCTGTTTTCATCTTAGTTCCAAAGCTAATTTTCCCCATCTCCACTGGTTCCATTTTATTTTAATAGTTTTAACTTAAAAAGGAATGCTGTATTTTCTTTAATTGGGCAAATGTACTGTTTTTACAGCAGCAGTGAACTTTAACACATTTATCTCTCTCAAAAGATAACATCTTAAGTTATAAAATAACTGAATTGCAAAAATTATTAAAATTATTTGTCTTCATATCTCTATAAGAAATTTAAACAAAGGCAGTTAGCAAATATACTGTACCAGAAACAGAAAATATAATTGATCCATTTTCCACTGAATCTGAATATCGAACTTTATGGCTTTGATTTTCCAGAGCAGCTGCAATTTCATAATTCTTTAAAAGAATTTCAGAAATACAAACATAAGAGATGATAACAACAATCTTTATTTCAGACACTGAAAAAATTAAAAGAAATTTCATAGCTTATTTTATAACTATACCACTTAAAGATTTGATCTTCAAAAGAGAAAATCTCTAATGGAGAAAAAAATTTTAAAAGGAGAGCAAAAAAATTTAGTCTGTAGGTTTGGAAATAAGTTGGTATACTAAAGCTACGTTATCTGAGGACAGAAATTAACAGTACTAAACAACCAAACTAAGAGAATGAGGGCAAATGCAAACTTTTAAAAATAACCACTTTGGAAGCGATTCTGACATGCGCTAGTGAACAAGTACAAGATGAGTTGTGTTTCTCAGATGGTGGCTATAACCACAATGAGCCAGACACACAATACACAAGAGACAAATAATTTTGCAATTCATTTGTTTAGATTAGTTACTTTCTGGTTTAAAAACTAACATCTCAAAAAATAAAACTTAAAAATTAAAACTAACCATTTCAAAAGTTCACTTAATTTACTATTCTAGCCAAGCAATTGATCACATTACCTAAGACACAAAGTTTAAGTGGTTAATAATATTTCCTAAGTGGTTAAAACTCAAACTTGTTAGTTACAAGTAGATTAAAATCCCTTAAGCAGACTAATTTTATTTTTTCCTGAACATGTATATTTTAAACTCATAATCAGAAGTGAACATAAAATACATATTTTCTTTCTATTATAATGAGAGTATTTTGTGTTACTTAGGTCCTGATCTAGAGTTCAACAATGGTTTTTTGTCTATGGTTTCAAAATCATACTCTGTTTCCACCAATGGCAGATTTAGTAACTTAGGCCAACTTTCCTCTTGAAAGATTGGATGGACAATTTTTTACAAAAATGAAAAGAAAATCTGCTTCAATGCATCATAGAGCTAGCAGGATAAAAAAAAACACGTAAGGCTAAAATCTATATAGAAATACAAAGATCTGATCTTAGCATTTAGGCCATTCCTTCCCTGAGGGCATTTGCCAATTCAGGAAGAGGCAAAAGAGAGGGTAAATAGAGTTTCTGACAAAAGTAGAGCAGCTCTCACAGGGAATGTAGTTCAGCTTCAAGCCATTTCAATCCCTGAAATTGTATTAAGGTGGTAGTAAATTACTAGTATTCTAAGCATCTAGCAGGACTCCCTAGAGCAAACTTTAGGAATTAGGTCCTCATAATCAGGTCTGTTGAATTACAGAAAAAAGAAAAGGATTTAAGTGACTATCTTCTCAATTCTATAACTACTGCCATTCTGCATGTATAGGAAGTAATTCATCACATATAATAAGCAATTTAGGCTTGGGTTGCCATATTTAGCAAATAAAAATACAGAATGCACACTTGCACTTGAAGTACAAATAATAATGTACTTTTTGGTATAAGGATATATCATTTAGTATTTGAAATTCAAATTCTGTGTTTTACCTGGAAAATAGAGAATCAGGGGTTTAATTCTCTTACAGAATTAAGGATTCTGAAGGAGAATGTAACATTATTGTAGGCCTTGGTTATTTCTACAATTTTTCAAATACAAATTCTAACACAATTATAAAAAACACACAAAGAGATAAGATTACATGGAAGATGAAAGAAAATCATCAGAAATAATAAGTAATAGAAACAGGTCCTTAATCCATATGATAAAGCTAATCAGATACATATCTTAAAATAGCTATGCTTACTATGTTCAGAGAAATGAGAGATCTTTTTTTTGAGGTAAAGTCTTACAATGTAGTTTAGTCTATTCTTGAACTCACGATATAACCCACACTAGCCTTGAATTCACAGCAGGTCTCCTGACTCTGCCTCCCAAGTGCTGGGATTACAAGCATTAGCCGTCATGTCCAACAATGTTGAGAATTTTGGCAAGGTACCAGAAAATATATAAAAGGATATGAAAGGGTTGGAAAGCTCCCTAAATTTGAGTCAAACTTGTGAACTAGGAAAAGCTGTATTCCATGCAAGCAAGTTAACGGAGGAGGATAAGCAAAGCATTGACAAAAAATAACAGGGAAAATTTTTGCATTCAGATTTGAAAGTATAATTCTTATGAGAGTAGAAGATGTATGTAAGGAAGCTAATTTGGAAACAGTGTTGAGAATAATTGAAGATGTATAACAACTCAAATATCCTATGCTAATGAATTTCAGTCATTTCCTATAGGGGAGTCAACTAAAAATAATTTTCATAGAAATTATAGAAGAAAATAATATAATTAGGAAGTATGAAATTGAGAAAATAGGACCTTAAGCATTGACTCGTCAAAATAACCAAAAAGTTAAAACTAGATTGTCCAAAATATGGAATATTATAGTCCTTTGAAAGTTGAAAAGATGTTCCTTATTCAGGTAACACTGGGAAAAACTGAATATTATTTTGTTTCCTTTGGATGTTTTTGAGCCTATTAAAGGCTCTGAAGTATAATATAGTAAAAAAAATTTGTTTAACTGTTTATACCAGCATTCCAGATAAAATCTATATAATAATCCTTCTTACACATGTAGTGTCTATTCCTTTAAAATTGGTATAGTATCTAGATTTTTTCACATAAAATAGATATGGAAAAGGGCACTTAATAACATACAGAATTTACTAGGAAATTTAAAGGATGTCAATATGGAAATTTTCACCACAGAAATAATGAATTTCATAGTTCAAGCTAATTCAACAGTCTCTATGAAGTGAGTAAATATTTGCAAATATGTTACTTATGAAAATAGACTCATAGTAGAGTCTAAAACCTAGCAGAGCAGAAACCTTACTTTTTTACTTTTCTAAATAGATTATCAGGATAGGCAATATAAAAGAAATCTCTGCCAAATGTTTTTTGAAGTGATGGGGATTGAACTCTGGGCCTTCCATATACAAGGCAAGGGCTCTACAACTAAACTGCAAATGCAGCCCAGGAAAATTCCTTTATATATCAAAGTATAAATAATTTCTAAAGTATACAAGAAGTGAAGGGAAATAGTGCAAAGGAAACTATTGTATTCCACACAAAAACATCACAGAAAAACTATAAACTTGTCTTTAATAAAAAACAATGCAAAATTAAAATACTAGCCAGACAAGCTCATTAAGAACAGGAAAAAGAAAAAACAAACAAGAACCAACTACTTTAGTGAAGAAATGCAAAGATTATTTAATTTATTCTCAACAAGTAACACAAAACATGCATTTAAAAATTGTATAGTTGTTTCTGATAAAAAGAAAAAACTTCATAAATTAAGCTTAAATGACTATATATTTTATGCAAGAATGTACATATGCTTATATATAAGTAAAATGAATGACAGAAATGATACAAAAGGCAGAAGTTTAGTAATAGAAACAGGTCCATAAAAGATATGGTAAAGCTAATCAGATAGATACCTTTTGTCACATATTTTGTTATAGATACATATTTTGTTAAGATACTTGCATTACCCATGAAGCAGGACAGTTATCTAAAAGTAGATATGGAATATCTGCAAATGGACACTGCAAATTCTAGAAAAAAATATAGTGGAATGCTAAGAAGGGGAAGCTGGGCATGGTGGTACATCTCTTAACCCTAGTAATCAGGAGGCTGAGGCCAGAGGATTGCTGTGAATTAAAGGCCAGAGCAGACTACAAAGTGAGTTCAACACCAGCCTAAACTGCATAGTGAAACCCTGTCTCAAAATGACCAAAAAGAGAAAGACACACACACACATTCACACACACACATACACACACACACACACACACAGATAGAGAATTGAATACATAAAATGCTCAAGCAAAACTACAAAAGGGAAGAAGAGCTGAAAGACAACAATGGAAACAAGCAACAAAGCCAAAAATGTAAAACTGTAATAAACATGATAGATATATCAGTTATTGCATTGAACATCACTGGTCTAAATACGATAACTAAAAGAAATTGTCAGAATGGATTAAAAAATAAAGCCCAACTGTATGTTGCCTATAATAAATTTAGGAGCTCTAGTGGCATAATCAGTTAATGTGCAGTAATTATATAGATATTTATTTTAACTAAAAAGGCACACATAGACTAGAAATAAACAGATAAAGAAAAAATATACTGTACACTAATCAAAAAAGCATGAGGGGCCGAAGACACAGCTCAGTGGCATAAACACCTGCCTCGTAAATCCAAGGTCGTGAGTTCAATTCCCAGTACTACCTCCCCCAAAAAACCAAGAGTAGCTATATGTATTTCAGTGGACTTCAAAGAAGATTATAAAAGACAAAAAGGTCATTAAATAATGATAAAGAGGTCAGTTCTCCAAGAAGAAACAATCCATAATGTGTATGCGTATAATAACAAAGCGTAAGTTATGTGAGACAAAAAGCAATAGAACCACATAGAGAAAGGTGAGTTTGCTGTTCCAGTGGGGCATTTCCACATCCCTCTGTGAGAAATGGACAGTTCTGACAAGCAGAAAATCACCAATCAGCAATACAAATATTCCTCATTTAACGATCTATTTGTTTAACAGCTGTTCAGACTTACAACCAAGATGCAAAGTTTGAACTTAAAACATGCCATTCAGAATTATGATGCATCTTTTTTTTGTACAGTTCTGTACAACTTATTTATAGAGCCGCAGTGGGTTTTTTTTTGGTACAGACTACATATGGGTTCATAAAACACATCTTAAAACATTTTTGCTCTCAGACCACAATGAAATTAAACTAGAAATCAGTTAGCATACCTGGAAAAATTCCAAAACATGTATACAAAAAAGGAAATAGCTCAAGATGTATTTTAAAAGATTTTGAAATATACAAAAACACAATTTATCGAAAGATCTACAATACAAAGAAATTAGTGCTAAGAAGAAAATGTGTAGCATTTAATGCATATATTAGAGATGAGAAAAGATCTAATAGTGATAATTTAAGTTTCTATCTTGGAAATTAGAAAAAGAACAAATTTAATCCAAACTAAGCAGACAAAAAGGAAAAAATAAGAATTAGACT